AAACCCATCATAACAGATCAATAATTATATCAAATGTGCAGTTTCCAAAACCTTGGTCAATCAATCATGTACACGTATTTGCACTCATTTTGTCTATTACTCGAGGGACACAGATACATATATCTTGTATAAGATACTTTCTCACACCTATTTGAAAACTCATATGTAGATATAAGTACACATGGACACAGTTGTATATCAATACAACATACATAAGTACATGTATTAATGATTTTACACATATATACACTTGGGCATAAAATTTACATACTCAGGTTTATTCTTCTGCAGTATAATAATAAAAATAAAAATTGGCCTCTTTGCAACTGCTGCTGCTACTATTAGCACTATTACTCTGGCTAATAGTGACAATACCATTACTACTACTGCTAATATGGAAACCTAAAATCATTCTAGTTTTTGTATAGGATGGGTGAGATAAAACAGTCATTATTTTCTTGTTCTTTTTTTTAAAAAAAAAAAAAAGAAGCCTATTCTATATTGTTTTTTTTTCTTTCTTTTTAGTTAGATTTTTTCTTTTCCTTCTAATGTTTTAATTTCTTCATAAGCTTTTGTTTCTTGTGTAGAGTTTTCCTCTATTAAGAATGTATTTGTCATCATATACAAGTCACACTTGGTTTGACCTAACCCAACCATTTTCTTTAGCCCTTGACCATCTAAATGTGTTTCGGTTATACAGCTTTTCGTTTTTCAGCTGCAAGGATAAATTCATGAAAGGGTGAATGTACTTGAGATTGTCTTAGCAGGTGATGATCTCTTTTTCTCTAACCAATTTGTTTTCTTATGTTGGTTGAAGGATCATAATTTTAAATATTCCATATTGAGTTTGTGATAGTTTTCCAATGTACTACTGAAAAGTTTTCGATATGGTTTAAAAAAAAAAATGACTGCTTTTGGTTTTAATTCTCTTTCTTTGTTCTTTTGATTTGACATGTTGTTGATGTGAGGATTCCTTCTAGAGTCTTGTATCATTTACAGTTGTTATTAGCAATTAGCTACAGCCAAGTCTTGTTTTAGCTAAAACTTGTTTTACTAGCTTTTGCTAAACTTGGAGAATTATTTGCATCTACATTTTTATTGTGGCAATGTGACAAATGCAATCTAACATACACAAGCATATGTAGTTATGCATGTTTAGTTCCTATATATATATATATATATATATATATATATATATATATATATATATATATATATAATACAGAGATAATACTTGAATATGTATGTATTGTTTACAAAACATTTAATCATTACTGAGAAGAATTGTTCACTTTTGAAACTGTCATTGCATATATCTTTCTGTGCACTTATCTTTTTAGGATATGTACATATACACATGCATAGTTTTGAGGGCTTTGGTTCTTTGCTTTGTTTTTTTGTTTTTTTCATATGCAAATATGTACTTTAAATTCTCTATCTAAAATATCTTTTCTTGATATGGATGATAATATTTCAATATCAGGACTTTCCTTAAACTTGACAACAATATTTTGTTATATAGCATTTTCTTTTGAACTTTTTGATAAAACTTTTGATTCCTAGATCAATACAAGTAAATTTTACTATAAGAACAAAGATTTTGCAAAAACATTCTAATGTTAGAACATTTCTTCAGTAAAAACACCCTTTGATGTATTTTAAATGTTCCTTGGGGTTAGCAAATATTCTTATTGATTTTTATTCTTCATATACATCTTGATGATATAAGCTGATATATTGTCTATAACTTATATTGGGAAATATTTAGAGAAACACTTAAATGTCTTTGAATATTTAAAATTAAATCTGAACATTCAATAGATATCTACTAGTTTAAAGATTCTTCAACAGATTTTACTATTTACAAATATCTAATATAAAAATCACGCATTTATAAATATAGATTTTCATTTTGATCTTTTTTCATACATAAATATAAGTCTTTATTATTCATGTTGTTTACTTAAGTGTTCATATCAATAATAACTGGTTTAAACTTGAGATCAAGTGATAGCAAATCTCCTCAATGCTCCCGCACTATTCTTCATATTCTGTTTTCAGTAATGCTTGATGGTGCCAACTCTTCCATTGATTTCCTTTCTTTTTTATGGGCTCTTTGGAACAGTTCCCAGTATTCCAGTAATGACTATTATAAATCAAAACAGAAGTAGATAAACAATTGATAATTGCATTTGAAATGCTAAGTACTATGCTTTCTTTATATTTGTCAATAAGGGAGAGAGAAAAGAAAGATCAATCACTTAATTAAAATTACTTTGCACCTTTGCCCCTCTTACTTTGCCCCTCTTACTGCATTTTTCAAAAGAAAATAATTTCTCATACAGCTTATAAATAAGGCCAGAAAAAAAATCTTTTTCTTTTGAACTAGAAATATTTTGTTGGTAATTGTAAACTATTTAACACATTTTCTTTCCTGGGGTTAATAACTAACTTAATACTTTATAAAATATAGAGGAACTTTTTCACACTTTATATATTCATTAAACTGATATATAGATCTTGTTAAAAACTTAAATTTACAGATATTTAGGTCTAATTTGACTTTATAGAAAACTGTTTGTCATTAGATTGCTAGACTCATTTTATATTATATTTCCATACTATTGAATATCCACCTGTCAAATTCTTAATTTGAACATTAAATAAATTTAAAAGGAAAACTTAAAACCCAACTTTATATGACTGTTATTCAGTTAAGATTTTGTTATTGATTTATTCGATTTTGTTTACTATCACAGTATTTCAGGTAAGAAAGATTTAAAAACTCTCTAAAACAAAAAATAAACTTAACTTAAAATTAATTCTGCTTGGTGAGTGGGGAAATATAAACCATTTCTTTTCCTTTTATAATAATTATAAGTGGTGGAATTGGTAGTTTATACTATTATGTATTTTTAAGTGGTTTAATTTTTTTAATATTTTTCTTATCTCTTATGAAATATCAATAATGACTGAAATGGAGTTGATTTAATTAATCAGTACAAAATTATATATGAATTTCCATTTCAGATTTAAAAAGATCTTTTAAAATTAATAACTTCAAGTTCCCTTTAAACAGAATATGTTTCTGATCAGTTATAAGAGTGACAGTCTTCCAAACCTTCAAATGAATTAATGTAAATTATAGTAAAAAATAATAATTGTAAATTAACAACTTTTCTTTAAAAAAATATTTAGTTATATCTCTTGAAATTTCTAAAATTTTATCCCATAACAACAACTCATAAAAATGCAGTGCTTAGTGTTATAACAGATTAGCTTTAAATTTTTGTTTTTTAAATTTTTTTTACTCTGATCTCTGTAATGTATTTTTTACTTTTAGTTTAGAATTATTTATCTGACCCAGGTCCTCTGTCTTCAGGTCTTTTCCACCTTTATCTGCCTAGAGTATCCTTTTCCAACTATGTTGTCCATTTGAATAAATTTCAATCTGCACAAAACTCATCACTGAAACAAAGACAGACAACTCTTGTTCACTCACATCTCTACATTGTGATTTCAATGTGGGACAGAGACTTTATTTTTAGTGTTCTTTTTTCAACTTGATTTAATGCAAAGGTTACTGTCTTGTTTTTGGAAATGCCTTGGGTTAGAGGAAACAGAACCTCTGGCCCCATCTTCAACAATGAAGACTCCAGCAGGGGAAACTACAAAGGTATTAACTGTTTTAATTGTCATGAACTTTTTTAAAGTGATGTTGCATAGTATAGAAACACTTATTTATTAACTTATTGTGTCTACATTTATAAACATATTGAATTAAAATTTGATGCTACATTGCTTATAGTTTGTATGGAATTAGGACATTGCAAAAAAAAAATAAATACATAAATAAAATTTTTTGAATTCACTTATATTGTTTTCAGGAGAAAACAGTTCTAAAATAAAAAATATTTACTATATACATTAAATGCTTAGTTTTATTTTGGGTTCTTTTGTGTTTGATATTTTTTTTTATATTTCCATGTGTATCTTAAACTTAATTTCTTGTATACCAATCAAGAGAATATATATTTTTTTATTGTCTACAACTTGAAGAGGAGTGATTTGCATATCAAATATTGTTCAGGCAACTGAAAAAAAATAAGTGATAATAGTCTTTTTACCTTATAGGAAAATGTTTCCTTTTTCTTTAGACAATGGGGATGAAAGAATAAATTGACCAAAATTTAATGTTAACAGCAAATATATGAACAGGATCAGTTGTTTGGACAATAGTTGGTATATCTTTTTCTAGTTTGCAGGTGACAAAGAATAATTTTTAAAAATTTCTTTTTTGTTAAATATTATTAAATTTTAAAAAAAATAACAATTAGTAATGATGGATAATACATCTCATCAGTATCATCCATTTTTATTTTATTATTAATTTCATGGACTATTTGAACAAAATAGTTTCATATTTCTTCATATTTCATTCATTTATATTTTTGTTTTATTCATTAGGATTGAGATTTATAATAATTTTTATTGTTCTAAAATATAAAAACGGCATTGTATAAAGAAATTTATCAAATGAGATGAAATAAGTGATATTAGATGCAAGCACATCAGGGAAATCTACTTCCAAGAAGGCAATATGCTTTTGCAATATTTATCTCAAATCAAAAAGTATCAGAGTATATAGAATTGGATTTATAAAGTTCTAAATAGAAAAATTAAATGACTTTGTTAAAAAGAATTGAATTAAAATGGTTTACTTTAATCAGTATACAAATGTTTTTAACATTTTAAAGTTTTGTTGTTGTTTTTTGGGTTTTTTTTTTTTCAAATTACTACATGTAGAGAGAAAATAGTTTTCATATTTAGTATATTGAAAAACAATAATCTCATGTTGCTTTCTTTCATATCTATTATTGTAGGCTATATAAGGTATTAATTTACTACATATGCAACCTTGTTTAATTTAAAATACCATACTGCTTCATGGAATGTAATTTTGTATGTAGTAAATGTTATCTTTTGTTGTGTATTTTCAGCTCTACTGGGGAAATTCCTACAAATTTTTGCCCTACCAAGTCGATTCAAATGGCACATGTGTAGTAGTGGACCCGGCTAGAGGACAACAGCTGGACACCCAAGTGGTCAATAATGCTGACCCCTTACCAACACTATGGAGTTCCATTCAGAACATTTTACTGGAAATGGAAAAGGACAACAAGTAAGTTTCTTTTACTTTTTTTTTTTTTTTTTTTTTATCTGCCTTTTATATTGAATGGAAATATTGAAGGACTTTAATAATTGAGGGCAAAAAAAAAAGACCCATTATGAAATTTATCATATTGTAGACTAATACTTTTTGGCTGGGCACACATTCACTGTTAATATTTTAGTATGGTAGGTGAACATAGGGATTAACAATTTTAAAACAGAAAAGGCAAGTTTTAAAGTATTCTGCTAAGATAGCCAGTGGCCTTTGATCTGTGTTTGAGTTCAGTTCAGTTAGCATTTTTCTAAAGGATTTTTTTTTTTTTTTTTTTTTTTAACGCTGTTGTCATTATTTGTTGTCATATTCTTGCCTAGATCGACATCTCATTAGGCTCATTTACCCAGGAAAACATAAACTACTAAATTTTGGTCATCTATTTACAATACTGGCAACTATAACCATCATTTTAGATTTCTAAATGTCTAAATACTTATTGCAATTCTGACATAGCTGCTGACTTTATATCATTTATATAGTGTAATGTTGTTGTTTTTTTTTGTTTTTTATTATTAAAAACATGACAAGCATATGCATAACTTAATAGCCCTTTTTGTTGGTAGCCCTTTCATCTTAGTGGCTTTGTCACTTTGTTTGGGGAAAATGATTAAAAAAAATGTTCTATTGTAAAAATGGAGGATGCAATTGCAATATAATTCATCTGAACATCAATAGAACTGAGCATCAGGTGCTTAAAATTAAGTCAGTTCTATTTTGCTACCCAGATGCATATCAGTGAATAAATAATATATATATATATATATATATATATATATATATATAGGGTGATTGAAAAGTAACTCCCTATTAAATGTATGAGTGGCCAACCAGGAGTCCTGACTTAACACCCTGTGACATTTTTTTCCTTTGGGGTTGGTTAAAGGAGTACGTCTACTATACCAAACGAAGACTTTAAAAGAACTTGAAGGGTGAATACAAGAAGTTATGTCTTCCATACCACAAGAGTTCCTAGTTAAATCCGATGACATGTTTCCTGGGCACTTAAGGAGCTGGTAGTGAAATCTGGTGCCCATATTGAATTTGAAATAAAACCTCATGCTAAATGCTTTCCTCATATACATTTCTTGTAAAAATTATAGTTAATAAATAAATTATAAATATTTTAAAATGGAGAGTTACTTTTCAGTCACCCTGTGTGTGTGTTTGTATCATTATTTTTAGTGGATACTCATATTTGAGTAGGTGCTTCGTTTATTTATTAAATGGTATAATTATTTATTTTCACCTACTGGACTGAATATTTATGAAACCTTATAAAAGAAAAATTTGTGCCCTTTGGCAGGAATTGAACCTGCCTCACTGAGGGCGGAGAAAGAAACCGCATGATATAATCTACATCACTCAGAACATGGTAGTTCCCTCTAATTTGAGGGATGCAGGTTCAGTTCTTTCCAAAGGGCGAAAAAGTTTTTCTTTAATAAGATTTCATGAATATTCAGGCTGGTAAGTGAAAATAAATATACTGTTTAATAAATAAATAGCGTGCTTACTCAAATACATTTAAAGTGATACAAATCTGTTGGATTAATAAAAATTATATATGTATGCATGTATTATATATAAACAAAAGGAAAACTTTTGTCTTTATTCATAGAGCCTTTTTTTTTTTTTTCTCAATTGTCCTTTTACAGATATACTCTCTGAAAGTTTTACAAATATATATGCACAGGCATTTTGTATGCCTAGGACAGGACTAGATATAGGATAAAAAAAACAAAAAACCTTAGAATATTTGTATGTGTATATTCAAGCTTTTACTATAATAATTAAATAAATATAAAAACACACCATTGTGAACAAAAACATCTTCCCTTGTGTATCAATTCACATGCCATAATGTAGCTTCCCTGTGCCTTTTCTATAAATACTTGCATGGTAATTATTCTGATGAACTCTCCTCTATGGTACTTAGACTTTTTGAATTTAAGTGCATTACTAGATTGGCAGCAAGTTCTCCTTAATTTATATTTTATGGTTAGATGTAAGATCTATGCTAATAGTTTCTTTTCTTGCACTTTTTGCTTGTGAAACTATCCTCTGGCTTACAGTTTGATCTTCAAAATTTTAAATGCAATGCCAATCGTTATCTTCTGTCTTCGAAATTTCTGTTCTTTTATTCTCTCTTGTTAATGTTCTTTTCCTCATACTCTTTCACAATTATTAACTCCCTGTGTTTTAGTTGCTTTATTGCATTGCTTGGGATGAAATGATTAAAAAAACAATGAATATGGTAATCAATATAGAATAACATATAACAGCATGCAGAAACTCCTGTATACTGGTGATCAACTGGCCTTGCTGGGCCAATAACCTGTTAGACTATGCTTTTAGAACAAAAGGCAAAAAATTATACTCATTAAAAATTCAAATAGGAAAGTTTCATGTGGCATAATGAGCCAGCTCTATAGACAGACTAATGTGCTGAGGAATTAGTGTTACTTAAATGACCATACAAATACTCACAAACAATATGACTTTAACATGTTTATATAGAAAAATACATCCCCAGATTTCAGCTCTTTATAACATGTGTGGTATTAAGTAGCCATAAAAAATATAACTGAAATGTATAATCACTTATAAGTTCATACTTTAAAATACCTAATCAGAATATCTGATGATACACACTTGAAATTAACCAGAAATGTATGTTCACTTAAGTTTAAACATTATCAGAATCCTTTCTCATTGACTAATATTCATTTTATCATCAGGATGAGAATATTAACTTTTTTTCTTTTTTTTTTTTTTTTTTTTTTTTTTTTTTTTTTGCATTGGCTTGAATAACTTTGATTTGTTTGGAAGAAATTTTGCAATGAAAAATTCAGAAAGTATTTGCTTTTTTTTTTTTTTTTTTTTCTCCAGAACTCATTTGAAGGAAAGATTTTTGAAAGAATTAAAAAAGATACGAACAAATAATGAAGGTGAAAACCTTGCTAAGGTAAGTTGACATTTAGGAAAGGGATTTGACTAATTTGCAACTAGAACTGGATTAAAACAGACTTTTCTCACTTAACTATTTCCATCTATTTTTATGAAATTGACCTCTGGATTGGATTCTTTCTTTCTATGTATGTATCTCTTTCTCTCTCTCAATATATATAATCATTCATATTTAGTATAAATTTTTGATGAACATATCACTTTATTTCTGCACTCTCCAAAAATTCAGATTCCTTATCAAAATAGGAAAATTCTGTATTCAATGAGGTTGAATGCAAAACTTTGAGTTCAAGGGAGTACAAAAAGAAAGAAACAAAAAATTGTATGTGTTGCACAAAGTTAACATGACTCCTTGTACCTTAAAATGTCAGTTCAGAACCATGCCAAGAGGCAGACTGATTCAGAACAGTGTAACTGTTCTGAATCAGTCTGCCTCTTGGCATGGTTCTGAACTGTTTGTTTGTTTCTTGTGACCTTTTTCTTTGTTTCTAGTGTTTTCAAGAATGTTCGGCAATTTTCACAATGACTGATGAAAAAAGAGCAGTGTGTGTATGCATGAAAGTTTTGTTTTCTCAGGAAAAATTGTTGCTGAAGCTGTTGTAATGCTTCAAAAAGCTTTTAAAGAATAATCTTGACATAAAACAAGTGTATGAGTTATTTGTGTTTCAAACATAAAATGTCACTTGAAGACTGATCAAAAGTTGAAATAATGAAAAAAATTCAGTTCATTTTTCACAGATGATTAAAAAATTCAATGAAATACGAGTTAGGATTTTAGAGAATAATTTATAAAGTTATGCTCAGGTATTAGTCTTGATGCTACAATTAAAGGAACAGTCCAACATGCAAATTACAGATTGGAAATACCAAAATCAAACAGATGCACCAGATTAGATATTTGGGAAGTATATTAAGAGGGCAGAAAGGGCAACATGAAAATTTGAAGGCTCGTTGGGATAGTGAAAGATACCTTCCAAAAGCTGAGCAAAGTATTAAGAAACAGAAAAATATCATTAGAAACAAAGAATGGAGTACTGAACTGTTATGTAATATCAGTCCTCCTACATGGCTTTGAATACTGGACCATCTCATCACTTGAGGCAACAGAAATATGGGTCTACAGAAGGCTGACGGGAATACCATGATCTAAGCATGTGAGTAGTGACAAAGTTTTAGAGAGAATGTTAAAAAACAAAAGAAAGACACTTTTATGTAGCATCAGAAAGAGACAGTTGAAATTTCTAGGGCACATAATAGGGTTTGGAAAATTTGATATTCACAGGTCAGATTCAAGATAAGAGACAGAGTAAAGCAACACGCAACCTACCTGGTGAGCTTGAGTCAATGAATGGTAGAACAGGGTATAGGAGAGATGGCAAAAAGACAAGAGCTTATTAAGAGCTATAAGAGACAGGAAATTATGGAGATCCATGATCACAAATATCCTGAAGGGACATGGCATATAACAAAACAAAAGCATCAAACCACTGGAATATACCAAATTTACCGAGATCCCAAAATGTGCAACAGGTGTACAATGTTGATTTTTTTCCTTTTTGGACAGATTCTAAATGAAAAATTTTGTTTTTCACATTTCTGCCACTTGACTCTCTAATTTTCTTGAGGTTTGTTGGTAATTTTCCAGAAATGTAAAATGAATCCTTTTATTTAATCTATTGGGATTTGTTTATATTTTATACCAGTTATATCCATTACCCTTCCTGGAATAATCATGAATTCATATATTTAAAATCTATGTGATGCTGAATCATTTCTCTATTGAGCTAGTGTATATTTCTGTACTGCCTAACCAAGGGAGTGAACTTACAAACCAGATAAGCATTGTCAATGGTCTTCTGTACTAGTCAGGTAGTGGAGTTTTTCACCTTAAACCTGTCTGTTCTTTTCTAATTAAGAGCTTGTATACAGTGTTTCTAAATTCAGACAAAATTGCTGTTTATTTTGTCAAGACCAAATCTATTTTATTAGAATATGGCTTGTCATATGTTGTTTTAATATTTGGAATATGCTTTTGCTATTTTGGTTAATATTGAGATTCTGCCATTTATGGTCATCTATACGATTACGTAACTTTTATCACATATGCATATGGTAAACTAAAGACGTAGCATAACACTGGCTGTATATTAATAGTTTTTTTTTTCTTTCAGGCACTGTACAGACTCCAGCTCCGCCTGGATGATCCTCAATTGCTGTCTCCTGATGTGATCTGGAACATGTTGATATCCTATAGAGATATACAGGTAATTACATGAACCTGCTACATTCATTGGTAATTAAAAATAAAAATATAGTAAATATTGTAATGCACAGAATATATTTCATGTCATCATCCAGTCTACCATTTTGACAACTTCGTTACAACAAAAACAGCCCTAATGTCATGACCCTTTACACCAGCTACTATTATATTTTGCTGACCTATAATTGCCTGGAACAACCATTAAATTACTTCTCATTTTTCTTTCTTTGACATATTTGTGATGTTCAAACAGTTACTAAGCCATATGGCATGTTTTGAGAAAAGAATAAAGGTATTTTGGATATAGCTTGATTTGGGTGCCAAATATAAATCAAAGGTTAAAAAAACTAGTGCCATTGTGTTTCGCTACCTTTTGCCATCTTTGAAGTAGCTTCATTATTCCATCCACTCAGAACTTGGTATCTTTCTAGGTGATGAACTGGTAAAAGTGGTTTTTACAGCCTACTAGAGAATTGAAGTTCTTCCCATTAAGAGTATTTTGTAGAGATCAAAATAAGTGATAATCTGAAGGTGCAAGGTCAGGTGAGTAATTTAGTGGGTGTAGTAGGAGACCCAGTAAAGAGACATGAGGTTTGGCATTGTCTTGATAGAAGACAACACTGTCTGATTGGCTAATTATGGACACTTTTCATAAATCACTGCCTTTTAATTGATCCAGTTGGGTATATTACTTCTCTGAATTCAACATCTGATGTTTGTGGAAGGAGCTTATATCACATGATGCTCTTCCGATCTCAGCAGATACACAGCATCATCACCTTTGGATGACAACTGAATTTTTGTGTAGTTAATAGTGATTCATTTTGTTTTTTGTTGTTTTTTTACTCCACATTGTTGTAAACAATCCACTTTTCAGCACTTGTGATCATTCTTTTCAGAAATGGGTCATTTTTGTTTGTGTTTGAGCAAAGAATTACAGATGAAAATACATTTCGTTAATTTTTTTTTTTCTTTTTTTCCATTAAATTATGAAGAACCCAAATATCAGTCATTTATGTAATGAAGTGATTTCAAAATGCATCGTATGAGATACATAGAGTATTGTTGCCATGTCCTGTATCATATGACCTGGATTATTTTTAATCGGCATTTCGATTTGGTCATCCTGTTGGAATGTTTTTGGTTTTTCCAGATCAAGATTTTCTCTTTTGACAATAGCAGACTACTTAAATATATAGATATATTAGATATAAAATTAGTGTATATACTGTTGGCCCAGGCTATGTCACTGACCAAACTATATATCCATTTACTATAATCAAATTAGCTTCAAAATTAGATTTTCAAAGGTCACATGATATGTATATGGTATATATTAGTGTGTGTGGAAAAAAATAGTAAATGATGGTTGTAAAGTGTTTATGGAAGAGGGTTGCTCATGCAATGTTCAAACAAAAGTAGGATGTGACCTCAGTCCAAAAGATTTTCAGACTGAGCATACATACATCTGTGGTAAGGTATTATTATCCAAAGCAGGACTTGCTAATCATTTAACAGTGTGATACTATTTAGTTATGGTAATTGGCTAACTAATTAATCATAGAAATTAAAAACGGGAAATACTTAAGGTGAGAAAGCTATACTGAAAGATAGACTGAGAGACATTAAAAAAAAGAATTTATTTTATTTAGAAAAGGAAGATACTTTTTCGCAAAAGACAGAAAATCAGTAAGAAGGAGCGAGACTGTGATTCTGTCAAATTAATTAATGTCGTGATAAGGTAGTGATGTGTCAAACGAAACAGAATTCTGAAAGATAAGCAAAGCTGGCTGATGCATTGGCTTGGGACTACCCTGGAGAGTGGCCATTAATTATCTTTCAGAGATACCATTTAATTTTAATTCCTGATTTCAGTGAGGGAAGCCATCTGTTGTATGTACAAATCTTGGCATGAGAAAGGAAATTGCGGATGAAAGTGTTATTATTACTTTTTTCAAACTGTTGACATCAGACGCAGTGTCGTCGAAAATAGGCATCTGGTGATAAGAGAATTTTAAGACATGAGAAAAATAAAGAATTATCTGGTAAACATGGCCACCCAGTTAAGTTGGCTAAAGTGGATTTGGAATATGATAAGGAATTGAATGGCAATCTGGGAATTGTAAATGTTTTGGCCAAAGGAAAAAGAAAAGAAAAAAAGGATTTAGTAAACATGAGGGCCAGTCTAGCCACACCCACACTGCCGAGAGATCATTGGCTAAGAAGTAGCATGAGTAATAGGCGGAGATGAATGTATGAGAAAGACTGAGAAGTTGTTAACACCCATTGAGGGGATTGGTATGAGATACCAATGTGAGAGAGGAAGAGTTTAGGAGGATAACTCTCCTCCAACCTTCCCTCACAGACAAGGGAGGAACCCCGAAGTGGAAAGTGATTAATCTTCCAAAAATGGGAAGTAACTAATTTTCCTGGCCTAAGAATAAAGAGAATTCTTGTTGGGAATTAAGAATTGTCAAAGAACCCAAACCATGACGGGGCCCCACCCCGGAGTTGGTCAGTGTCCATATAAACGACCATCTCGAGACAATAGAGTTTTCGGCAGTTTCAAGAGTTCAGAGTTGCAGTTGGAGACCATCCTCGCAGGAGCTGACCGAAAGATTTCCATGTCCTTTTCGACTTAGTCTTCCTACCAAAAGCAAGTTTTTATTGACTTAAGATACCATAACTCACTTAAGAAACACAAAATGTGCCATGAATCCATAGAAACATGCCAGGAGAGAAACACACACTACTGTATTCAACAGATAGATAGTTAATTGTTATTTCTCAACATATTTGAACCTCGTGAGTTTGTTTTATTATTTTTCTTTTACTTATGCTTGTGCGGTATCACCTTTACCCCGGATTTGGCTTGCACTACAGCCTGACGCCTGATTGATTTCGTCTACCTAAGGTCAAAGTCACAACATGGGTAGGTTAGACTTGAGATCAAAGCAGTTACTTCGGTGACCAAGTGTTGGAGGTGCGCTGAGAACAACAAAGCTGGTATCGAACCAGAAATGACCAGATCGACCGGGACACAGGCTGGTGGCAGCGACAAGGAGTCAACCCCCAAAACTCTGGTGGAAGAAACCTGACAGCTTCGCGCCACAACTGGGAGTTGACCACGGGCCAACGCCGCAGCATCATATATTGATGTCACAACCAGTGGACATCACATATTGGTGCTGGACTGCAACCGTGGCCACCTGTGTGTCACAAGTTATCAACAACAATTTTCAGGAAATTTGTTAGTTCTGTGACAAAGTATGTGGGTTAGCAGCAGGTCTAAAGAGTCACATGACAGTGTATATGGACTGGATAAACTCCATTCACAAATCTTCTGTCTGCCATATATGCAAGAAATCCTGCAGAAGTGAAAGCAGTTTTTGACTCATGTATGTACTCAAGGTAACTTGATTCAAAATTGATAGATAGCTTTCTTATGCCAAAAAATGGTAATCTCTCTCTCTCTCTCTCTCTATATATATATATATATATATATATATATATATACGGATACATACACAATTTGAATTTGGATAAGAATCTGATAAAATGGTAAATATATAAGACAATTTTGAAAACCTTTTTGACATATTTTGCCAATAAATAAGCATCATCAGAAAAATATTCTAATAAATCTTGATATTTTGGAAAAATTGATTTAATTTAAGCTTAAATGTTGAAGGGTTCTGTCATTTGCTTTAGTCTTTGCTTTCAAAAATGTTAAAATCTAATTTGATGAGACTGAAATTCAACTTTTTTTTTTTTTTTCTTTTTTATCTTTAAATTTTTGCACAGGACTATAATGCCATGGTGAAGCTGGTGGAAGGTCTGTCACAAGTGCCAAATAACCGAATTACAAATATGCCTAATATTCAACACTTGTATGCCTTTGCTTTAAACAGGTAAGTAATGATGGCTTATAGCTTCATTTAATCATATACAAGGTGCATTCCAGAAGTTTTGACTTTTTCTAGAGAGACTTTTATTAATTTCAAAGAAGTACAAAACTCTAATCTCCTTCAAAGTAGGATCCTCTGACTTCAATGAACGTGTTATAGTGCTTCAGTCACTCCATGAAGAACCCATGGAAGTCATTCAAAGTGAAGGTGTCCGGGGACCTTTTTCACAACCTCCTTCATCTTCTCAGTTTTTTCAAAACCATTGCCCCTGAGATACTTCTTCAGTTCTGAGAACAACCAAAAGTCATGGAGCAAGGTCTGAACTGTAGGGAAGGTGAAGGACAGTTTTGATGACCATCAACCATCTTGCTATCACCAATGCATCTTTCCTTCTGTTCATCACTGAACACTTTGGAAACAAACTTTGCACAAATTTTGCACATGTTCAGATCTTCATGAATAATTTTGTGTACATTTGCCACACCAACTCCAAACTGTATGCTTATTGTCTTTAGAGACACATGACTATCTTCATCCCCAAAATTGTCTCCCTTCTACATTACTCATTGTCTCTTACATCCTCTCCATTGTCCTTGAACCTCTTGTGCCAGTGGAAATCAGATGCTTGGCTCATAAAAGTTAATCCATAAGTAGTCTGGAGCACTTCATACCTTTCTATAGCATTTTTGCCCAGTTTAACACAAAATTTTATTGCATAGTGAGCTTCCAAATTGTCTTCACATCCTGATTGCATTCTGCAAATTTGTCTGCTGTGACAAGCAGTGTTTAGTAATGTGTGTTCAAAGAGCTTTTACAATTGTTTCCTTCCATCTAGAATAAGATTTGGCAAGTCAACTTATTAGATGTATAGTAATTATATAATAAAACCTCAGTAATTTAGGAAAGTTATAATTACCTCTCCAAAAAATGTTTCAAAAACTTTTTGAGTGCATCTCATATATCCTAACTAGCAACAAGCAGGCAAGTAACATATGCACTATACTAGCATTCTGAACAGCATAGAAAAAATTGGCTTGCAAATACTAAATGAGGCAGAGTGTATAGATACTGCACTGATTTTCATCAGAAGGCCAAAGAGAGACACTTTAATTTGAAGCAGAGTGCAAAGATATTTTGATCCGAGTTTGAAATGCTTATCCATATACAATAATCATGTCTTTTATTTTTTTTAATATTTTGCTAGTATATGTATATAGTATGATTAGATGTTTATTCAGCTTAGCTTACAAGCCTAAAATGAGTAAATCACTGAGGATCATCCTCTGATAATAACTTCCTAGGTTAGTTTGCTAGACATTAGTCTCTAGAGAACCTTAGAACATGATTGCATAATGTTTTCAAGTGTCTGACTACACCCAATTTAAATGAACTTGAAACTTGTTTTTGTTTAACAAGCAATCAACAGAAGTAAACAACTTTGTGATTATAAAATTCTTTCTTTATTTTTCATAGTATATTATTTTTTTTCCATTAGATAATTGTAGTGGACACAGATCAAATCACAATCTGTTAAAAAAATAAAGAAAAATAATACTCTATTAATTCAAGTGATATCCAAAAAAGACTCAGAGAAATTGTTAAAAATCAAGCAAATTGACAACAATAAAGTCAAGGCCTACCCCCATCAATTTCTTAATTCATCAAAAGGAGTAATAAAATGTCCAGAACTATCACTTTGTTCATCAGAAGAAATTGAAAATGACAACACCCTAAAAAAGCAAGGAGTAACAGATGTTAAAAGAATGCAAGTAAAAAGAAATGACACCGTAATAGACACCAACACATACATTTTGACATTCGACAAACCAACTCTACCAAAAGAAATAAAGATAGGTTGCACAATAGCAAAGTTAGAGCCATATATTCCTAATCCCCATAGATGTCATCAATGTCAAAAATTTGGTCATTTTTGAAATGTTTGTACAAGAACAGTCTGTCAAAGCTGTCGGGAACTGGAAACTGAGCATGATTAATCACCTTGTGAAAGGCCTCCTTTATGTCCAAACTGTAAAGAAAAACATCCAGCAGACTCCAAAGAGTGTAACATTTGGGAAAAGGAAATAATTAGAAGAAAATACATGCAAAATGTCATTCCAAGAAGCCAGGAAACAGATTGAATCTAATTCACTTTAACAAGAATGTAGAAACAAAAGAAGTTCAAAGTACAAAACATAACAAGAAACAAAACGCTAATAGTCTGAAGAATATAGAAAAGATGGATACTTCACCCATATAAATAAAAAAAAAAAATTGTACATGTAAAAATTCATAATTTGTAATACATAATCAAGATGCAAAACCTTATTCTATGGAATTGTAACTAGGGTCAAAACACTATGAAAATGTAAAAATAGGTTTTAATACCAGAAATACTTTGTAAAAAAATTATTACCAGCAATACATTTTTGAAAACCAAATGTTGCCTGCAATGCATTTTTTGAAAAACAAATATTACCAGCAATATATTTTTGAAAAGAAAAGAAAAATATATATTACCAGCTATACATTTTTATAAAAAAAAAAATATTACCAGCAATACATATTTGAAAGAAAATTATCAGAAATAGAATTTTTGAGAAAAAATTTTTACCAGAAATAGATTTTTTGAAGGAAAAATATTACTAGAAATAGATTTAAAAAAATATTACCAACAATAAAAATTTTGTCGGCATTAAATAAATAACCCATTGAGGTTGATATGCCATAAAATCAAAAGAAATCAAGGCTCTTGGCAGTGTGTTCAATTGAAGAACCTGATTTTTAGACAGAATGTGATCAGCAGTGGAATAAATGGCCTGTGTCCTGGAAGTGGACAGAAGGTAAAATGCCAGGTAAGTTACAAAACCGTGTCGCAGAGTATTCTACGCCAACAAAAATCAGAGGATCATATGAGAGGGAGTGCAACAATGAATTGAGAAGGGTTGGCTTATTCCATGACAAGCAGAAGCTTGGTCTCCCAAAAGTGCTACTTCCATTGATGGCTGTTGTGCAGAAAAACAAGTTGAAAATGTCTCCCATAATGGACTATAAGGAACTCAACATCCATGTAGATGCTGATGTTTGCGCCAGAATAGAGACACAAAGAATCAAATGTCACACTGCTGGATCTCAGATTATCAACATGTGCACATCATTGAACGACTTCAGCCATATCAAATATTTATCTTTCAATGCAGAAGTTACTGCCTGATCAGATTGGGATTTGGGCTGAACGTTGCCACCAGCACCCTACCCCACCCAAATAAAGTGAGCCATCATTGATGCTGTGATATCTCAGGATGAAAAAAAATCAGTGACAACCTTGTCATACATTGACAACCTGTATGTAAATGAGGATATCGTGTCCACAACTAGTGTCGCTGTGAACACCTGTCGTGCTTTGGACTGACAAGCAAAATTCCAGAATGACCAAAAAATGGAGCTTGGATACTTGGCTTGACTGAAGTCCCAGGGGCGGTCACCAGGAGGAAGGTATTCTCTTTTTTGTGGCAAGCTTGTTGGACTCCTCCCAGTGGATGGCTGCAAGTAGTGGCTTGTGTCAAGTGAAGAGCAAGTACAGTGACAAAAGGTTGGGACCATTGAACTGATGATGCCCCACTAAAAAGCATGCTGACAGAGACTATTACCAGTGTAAGGCAAAGCGACCCATGTATAGGCGAGTGATGCATTGATAGCAAAGAACTTTGTGTGGGTTGTCACAAGTTCTTTGGCCACTGGAGTCTTACTTGAATTGTGTATTATCAAAGACACATGTTTGTTGTGGCCAGATTTGGACATGCAACATGTCAACATCATGGAACTAGATGCTATTATAAAGGGGGTAAATGTGGCTATACACTGGAAAGCTAAGACAGTACATTTAAAAACTGATTCACTGTGTGTGTGTCAATGGCTCAGGAAAATGCTGACAGGCAAAGCCAGAGTGAGCACTAAGGCTGTGAGTGAAATACTGATCAGGAGGCAGCTGCAAACTTTCTTGGAGTTGGTTAAGGAGTATGCATTAATGATGGACACTATGCTTGCCAAATCAAATCAGAAGAAAGCAGACAGAAGCACCAGAGTCCCACAGAGATGGTTGGAAGCAATGAAGAATGAGGCAGAACCTGTGCTGTGACTGGCAGCAATATGGAACTGAGTCAGCTAACACAAATACCCCCAAACAGTGGACACCCCAGGTAAAATAAACTATGTATTTTGTCAGGAAAATCGCTCCGTCTCCAAGTAAAGAGACTTTGAGATCTACTATTAAATCCTGCTTGAAATGTCTGCCAATCGATTGGGCACCAATCCATTGGTGAAAAGAGAAACTGGAGACAGTAGGTATATGACAGAGACTAGGGGTGGATATCACCCCATTACAGGGGTGCTCACTACTTGACACTGATAGACTGTGGGCTTACCTGTTTTTCCATTTGGCAACTTCTGTAACAAGAAAATTCAGCTACTGTGACCCAGTGTCTTAACACATATCTTTTTTGAGAGGGTCCCACCTAAAAAGATCTTGACAGATAATGATATGGTGTTTAACAGTAGGAGGTTTAGAATGTTTGCTGAGTGTTGGGGGTGTGTGCCAGCATTTCCAATATGCATATGTGCCATCTGGTAATGGCATTGTTGGACGATCACACAATTCCATAAAATGGATTGCTGCCAGAAAGTGGTTTACTGCTATGTTATGCCAAAAGATGGCATCCGTGGTGTGACTGCTCTGTCTAATGCTTTGTACCAGTATGAAGTCCAAGTGAAAGGTGTTGACAAGATCCCTCAGCTGAAGCCCAAGTCTGAGCAGGGTGTGTACAAGAAAGGGAATGTTATACTAGTAAGGAGTCTGCTGAACAGATGCACAAGTAAATGGAGGATGGATACAGTGACCAGATTTGTGAGTCTTAAATTGGTTTATGTGGATGGAATGCCTCACCACGTGAAAGACCTCTGCCTTTTTCCTTTGGTGAACAATTCTGTGGAAGACAAAACTGCCGTATCAAGTGACGAGATGTACATACCTGTAACAAAGGATGAAGATGACCATTCAACTGATTTTGAATCTAACCAATCGAGCGATGGTGACAACAGTGAAGGTCGGCAGATTGTGACAGGGCCACCTCAAGAAGCAAGTGAGCCTGCCAAACTGCTTCTTCAAAGAAGCATCAAATATAAAAGGCTGCCCTCCCCAAGCTTCTACCTGTGTGATAGTGAAAACATGGAAGGGTGTAGTGGACACAGCCTGTCCCACTGGTGTAAGCAACATAAGGTTACCTGTGCTGTGCACAGGGGACTCAATCTGCACATACTGGGTGATGTCTCATGTGACTGAAAATCTGTCACAACCTTGCAAGATGCCATAAAAACCAGCATTTGTTAACACCAGCAGTTATTTGAAGAGATGCCGCTTGTGCAACAGGAGCAAATTGCGATAACTTGGATACGTTTTTAATTTTCCATCTCAATTCAATTTGATATAATTTACTTTCAGCAACGTGTTGGTAAATTAGTTTTCAGTGTATGCATACATTTTTTTTTCTAGGATTTTTGTCTTTTACCTTTTTAGTGATAGCAATAAATAAATTGCCACCCCTTAAGGTAAGGCTTCAAGAACACCAAAAAGCTATAACACGAGGGGAAGTGGAAAATTTAGGTGTGGCTGACCACATCTGGAGAGAAAAGGGAGATCACTGCCCTCTGTGGGACAGGTTGAAATCAGAGACAAAGAACATCATTGGAAAATTTGTAAACTTAAGGAATCAGCACATATGCTAGGCCACAAAAATCTCCTGAGCCGACCAAGCATAGAAATGAATACAATATGGGAACCAGTAATTAGGAGTGTCAGAGAAAAGCAATAATAACAATGAAAATTGCAATATGAGCTCTGGTAAAATACATGCAATAACAGCAAAAATTGTAATATGAGCACTGGTAAAAATGGTTGCTGAAGGCATTAGGTTTATAAGTCCCAGAAATTCATAAACAGATGTCCTTAAGGACACATGGCACAGTGGATAAAGGTGTTGGTTAGATCCAGTGACACTTGTGAGTCCAATACCTGGTTAAGGCAGTGGAGAACTTGGAGAGGTGAATTAACAGGAAATAACTGATAATTGACATCCATTGGACATGGCACATGTAAACGGGAACAGTCTATCCCAGCAAGCAAAATAAAGGGTTCAGTTCAACATTCCAACAACTTGAAGAAGGCTGGAGCGTACAACAGCTGAAATGTTGTGATAAATATGGCAACAAAGATGAGGACAATAGTCTGAATAATGTACATAATACCTCATCTTAGAAATATAGACAGATATAATTTCTCTGAAATGTATGCTAAAGTAATTTATTATTTTTATTTCTATGCTTATTTTATTGTATCTCATGATTTTGTTTGTAATATTTTAATCTCATTGTGGCTCATGATGTGCTTTTTAACCCTAAAAAAATACATATATAAAAAAAATAAAATAACATTCAAGGCCCAGAACATTATTACAACCTTCTAGTTTCATCATATTTTCAAATTAATCTTTCAATTTTAATTACTTTTTTTTTTTTTTTTTTTTTTTTTTTTTTTTTTTGAAACTACTGTTTCCTCTATTATATGAAAATATGAACCTTTTTTATTTTGTATGTCAATAAAACGCTATTGTTACATTTGAAAAATGTTTTGGGGACTCAAGTACTGATTTTAAACTCCTAATTCAGCATATGACTCTTTAATGGATGAACCTGAGTATATGCATTTATAATATTTTATTATTTCCAGAACAATGTGAGTTAACTCATTTATAAAATAACTTTTGATTTTGGACTGAACACAAAAAAAATTGCGTATCCTATTATATTTTAAACTCAGAACAAGACTATCCTGCACTTCTTTCAGGCTTACGGCCACATCACATTAAAACACCAGTTCCCGCACAATCACCGAAGTTAAGCAACCTCGAACATGGTCAGTACCTAGATGGGTGACCATATAGGAATGTGTTATAAGGTTGTATATATGGGTGGTGTAAGAGATAATGACTTGGAATTGTTATTCAGATTGCCAAATTCCAATTCCTGTTGGCTTCATTATATTCATATCCATACAGATACCCTTGGGAAATGTATGAATCCACCTCTTCTCCCTCCAGCTATGTAGCTGGAGGGAGAAGAGGTGGATTCATTAGTAAGACTTGTATCACTAAACCATTATTATTTCAATCTAAAAGTATTTTCTGGCTTTAAATAACCTTCAAAGGGTTGATAAGCTGTAGAAAACCACTCAATCAATGAACTTCTTACATCCAATAGCATCAATTTTGTGATATCTGCGGCAACAACCATGGTTAGAATTTTAGCCTTTTTTTTAATCATATATGAATATTTTAAACCTGCTATAAAGCAGAACATATTATACTACTAGCTTGGATTTTATCTGAATAAATATATATATTGTATACATGCATGTATTTATGCAAAGACATTGTAACTATTTAGATGAAATTTGAAAAAATATAAATGCTTGTATTTAGATTTTTTTTTTAATAGGCTGTATACAGTATATACATTTTTGCCTGAGTTGAGCCCAACTGTTTCAGTTTATATTTAGAGAAACTTTAAGTGGATTATAACTTCATAAAGAGAAGATTTCGAGTTATAAATACATAAATTAGATTTTAAAATCAGATTGTTTTATTTTCTAAGCTTTCATATTGAGGAATTAATTTTTTAAGTGGTCATTTGTAAATAAACTCGAGTTGCTAGCTGAATACAAGTTTCAACTTGAACATTTTAACTTATTATGGATTCGAGTCCTCAACAAAAGCATGATTTTCTTTGTTGTTTATTGTAGTGAAATAGGAACAAATTTTACTGATATCCTTATACTTCCACCAGGCAGAATTCAGTCAGTAAGTGCACACAAAAAATAAGTAAAAGACATTTTTTTTTTTTTTTTTTTTTTTAGATCTACCTAAATTTTGATGACCCTAAAATGTCACTTACTTCTAGTAACCAACAGAAAGCAAAACGATTTTAGTAGACTGAAAAACCAACTCTTCTGTATCAGATTTTTTTTTTTGAGTCCAACACCTTTTTGAACGACCACACACACACACACACACACACACGCACACACATATCTTCACTTTCACTTCCTCTTCCACTCTCCTGCCCATGCACATTGTCACCAATCATCTTTACCAGTCTTTTCCAATTTATCAAATTATTTTTATTTTAACTCTACAGGAGAGATAACAAAGGGGATAGTGATAAAGCATTGAGTGTTATAAAAGAGGTAAGTAGACATAGTTTTATCTCTGTAAACATTTCATCCATTCAAAAGAATTTCATCTTAAAAAAAAATTTTTTTTTTTTTTTTTATTAAAGTTCACCTAATACAAGGCTCAAGAGCCTCTTAAGGTAAAAGGTTACTGAATGAGGTTTGTGGTATGAATATAAGAGGTAGGAGGAAGTAAGAATTATGGGGATAATGAGGACATATAACAATTGACCGTTGACTTTTTAAAGAGTTTAAGATAGTTTGGGGAAGCATCCATGCACATGTATGTTTTGAAAATTAGCAGTTCTGGCAAGTACTGGGAGTTGTTTAAATGGAACTTCTTCATTAAAATTGGAATACAGAGTAAATATGGGTAAATTCAACTCCATAGATCTAGCATGGTGAGTCATAGCTATAAAGGTCTGGACTGGGAGAACTAAAGAGTGTAGCTCACCTGAACATTTACAATAAAGTAGCAATAGGCTTGTAACATTGCATCTATGGGGGGGAAAATATGTGGCAGTGATTTTTTTTTTTAATCCTTTGAAAACTTTAGTGAGAAGAAAGAACAAAAAAGAACACAATTTAGGAAGACAGAAAATAGCAAATGATGATGCATAGGATAGAAGTGCAAAAAGAATAGAACTTATGGTTACATATAACTATTTCAACAGTAAAATGATGCAACCTAGTTGCCAATCTAGTAATCTGCTTAAATTTGTACACTTGAGGCACCAAGGAGGAAAGCTCATTAGAAAAATTGAAACTATAGAAAAGCAAGATGGAAGCTACATCACAGCGGTAGGAAGGTAACTGAAGTCAAGATGACAAGTCGGGACTGATAACATTACAGGCCCTTTTTTAGATTTTGTCAAGAATCTCAAGAAATATTACAGGAGCTCCAGACCAGATACAGCATCAATATTCAATGCACAGATGAATAGTAGATTTATAAATGTTGTTAAGAAAATTTGTCTAGCACAATACATTGAACCAACTTTCCTAGCAGCAGACCTAACAATTTGAAAATAAGTCATTCCCTATGAGATCATAAATGATTTGGAAGTCTATTAAGCTTGAAAAGAGAGCATTGAATAGCTCCAGCTCATATATGGCAGCAATATTCTATTTTTGGTTTGATGTAACTCTTGTAATGGTACAGCATGGCAGGAGTCAAGTATTTTCTGGGGTGGTAGAATGACTTGACCATTTTTCCAGCATCTGGGATTGAACTTTAAAATTTTTTGATATGAAATGAAAAATTTGATTCCATGTTATATACATTAGCACAGATGGATGTGGCTTACGGTCATAACACATTGAAACACTGGTTTTTATCTGATCATCAAAATAAAGCAATGGCGAACCTGGTCAGTACCTAGATAGGTAGCTGCTTGGGAATACCAAGAGCTGTAAGCTTGGATGTGCATGTAGTGTAAGTGATAACAGCTTGGAATGAGACATCGGAAAGCCAAGTTCGAAGTCCAGTCAGGTTCATTACATTCACATACGTGCAAATACCTTTGGATAAGGTATGAAGTCTCCTCTTCTCCCCCGGCTGTAGGTAGGGCTTGTATATGAAAAATCATTATCTCTAAAATAATTAATACAATATTTGCTTGCTAAAAAAAAATTCTTCTTGTAATTCAAAAATATTTCAGCTTCAAATAACCTACAAAAGGTTGATAAACCATAAAAAAAATACAAATCAATCGAGCACAGATGGATGCAAGCAACGTAAAGTGTTCCTGCATAAAACATACATGTTCACAAGAATGTAAATGATAGAACTTTAACTTTGTATTGTTACTAATTTGTTCATCATTTATTTTATCCTTTTGTACTATGATATATTATCACCTGTGTACTATACATAATACCGTATATATTCCAGTATAGTGCAAGATTTATGATCAGTTTTTCACACAAAAAAAATAGGGGGTCACACTATACACAGGCAATTTTTTCTGGAGGAGTTAAAATTCATGCCAAAAAATTCAAGGGCCACACTATACATGAACTTGGATGGTACCTGAGTATATACAGTAAAGCATTTTGGGACAGTTAAATACATTAGTTTTTTTTTTTTTTTTTTTTTTAACCTACAAAATCTTAAGGTGTCTGAAAGTGCATATTTATCCTTTCAATTTACATTATGCATCTATATACATCAGACATTTAATGTTAAGTGACCTTGTATCTTCAGCATTTCTCTATATAGAATTGTAACTGGCATTTGTTGTATTTTGTTTCCTCCCTCTACATATCTAGGATTCCATCAATAAAAATATTTGTCTGAAGTTTCTTTAAAATGATGTTACATGTCTTTCAGTTACCCATACAATTAGTGATTGTACATTGAGCAATCAGTCTACTTGTTTTGATTACTTCCTAAATCTTACTTTATCAACCTTGAATGTACATACACATAAGGGGGACACAGTTTCAAACCCTGCCAAAAAGCACATCTTAAGTTTTCTTAAATGTGCAGGCCAGTAGATGTAATACACTTAAAAAAAAAAAAAACATAATAATAATGGAGCCTCTATTCAAATATCAGTATCCACTAAAAATGCTGTTTGAAGTAATAAAAATATCTGATTAAAAATAAATACATTAATTCTTTATATATATATATATATATATATATATATATATATATATATATATATATATATATATAATCTCAATACATCATTGAAGAGTTCGGTAATAATTTATTTCAGACAGACAACTGCCATATCAGACCAGCATCATAAAATGGTTTAAATCATACAGACAATTTATTAAAAATTACAAGAGGCAATGAATAAAAGATCTGACCATGAAAAATCATTGAAGAGATAAGAGGAAGAGGAGAAAACAGTGTCAATCCAACAGGCAGGGCTGGTAGAAGGAATACAAAGTTACAGCCAGTGAAATATATTGAAAATAAATCAAATTTATATCATCATCATCTAATCTGAAAAATTATCATATATATAAATGGTGAAAAAGTAAAATATACGTTGTACATACATGCATATCTATACCCATGTACACACACACACACACGTGAATAGACATATATACATGCATTCATACATCTTTACATACTAGTCATGCACACAATTTAACCTACAAACACATCCATCCATCCATCCATCCATCCATATATATATATATATATATATATATATATATATATATATAAAACAATTTTATATATAATGTGTGTGCATTTGGGCAGCAATCCCTCTTTTATATAAGTTTTGTTAAAAATAAAATCATGATTGATAGTGTCTAAAATTATAGCCAAAAGCACTCATGCAGAACATTCAGCCAATTTTTACATAATTTATGTTCAGAAAAGAAAAAATTATAAGAACACAAAAATTAAATAAAAATCTTAACTGCAATCAGTTGTTTTTAATTACACTTATATAATTATTTCTGTCAACATTATTCTTTATAGGCCATTGCCCAGAGTGAAACCCCAGTATCGGATATGTTGTGCTTATGTGGCAGAATATTTAAAGATAAGTTTGTGCAATCAGAGTGTACAGACAAAGAATCTTTGGCTCAAGCTATTGAGTGGTAAGTACAATTATAGCTATTTCTTTTCTCTCTCTCTCTCATTATCTACAGTAGGCTAGTTTTTCTTTCAGCAGACAAAAATGCATTCATTCCTTTTCTTTGTAAGAATTAGGATTTGTCTTTTTTGACACTTTGGATAAAAATGTTTAATTTTGTTGACTCCATCAACCCTAAAGAGACATGAATTGTTTAATGTCTAGAATATTGACTCATTTGTTCAAAATTGATTAAATGATGCACATGCAATAAAAGAAAAATATCTCAAAAACTTAAGAATTACAATTATTGGTTAGCATTACTAAAATCAGTTATGAGTAAAAAATTATAGTAGCTACAAATTATGACTTTGTTAAAGTGTTGGTCATTTGGTGCATATTTTTAAGTTACGATATATTTTTTAATATAGTTGATTTTAATATCAATAAAAAATAGAAACTAATATGTTTTTTTTTATGGGACATAATAAGCTATAAGTAATGACCAGGTTCAAATTACAATAAGATTTTTAATGAGGCATTATAAGCTATCTATGATCAGGTTCAGATTATATTTTTAATGAGGCATTCTAAGCTATATGTAATGACCAGGTTCAAATTAAAACTATTTTCACAACACTATTTACTGTCACCTCTCTGTAACCATGTTGTTGGTGCCATGTTTCAAAATAGTCACATCAAATCTTGAATGTATTTGGGCACGCCCTCATTTGAAATGCTTTAAATTTTTTGAAGTTCAATTAACACACAAGATGAGAGTTCAAATTTTGTTAGAAGTTACTTTATTTCAGTTCATGCTGCTTATTGCATGTAAAAAAACAAAAAAACAAAAACTGATTGCTTCAATAATTAGCAACAAGACTAAAATGAAAGATAAACTAGTTATTTAGCTTTTTTTTTAATATACTAACATTGATGAAAGGCAGAGTATTGTTTACTTGAATAACTAACAGAATTCTTTTTTTCTTTCAGGTACAGAAAAGGTTTTGATACACAACCAAATGAATATGCAGGGATTAACCTTGCAACATTGTTGGTTATATCTGGAGAAACAATGGAATCTTGTCAAGAGTTAAAGAAAATAGGTTAGTTAATTTAAAAAATGCATTATTTTAATTCACTTGTGTTATTGTTTATAGATAACTTTTATATTTACTAGGGTTTTCATTTGAGATGCAAGTAGCTTATTTAGCAGCATGAAAAATAGAATCTGTGAGCTGAGTTCAAATTCCAGTGTTGTTTTGACTCTAATGATATTGGGAAAGGCATGAATCCATCTCTCCCCACTCTGCAAGCTATAAATAAAATAGCAAAGCTCTCTTTGGTTATTCACCAATCTAGGAGATTAATAACAACTCTGAATTTAAAACCAGGAATGGAATCTGTCGCTTTCCAACTGTAGGTAAAAATAGCAAAAATGTAGGGGTTGAGTCTTGAAGTCTGACCCTGTAAAATCTACTTTGCAAACATGATATACAAGCTAAAGAGCTGTTTAGAACCAGGACCCTGAATATTCATTTACAAATTCTTAGTATCACGGCTGTCCTTTTTTTTTTTCTTTTTTTCTTTTTTTTTTTTTTTTAATGCTGCTGTTTGGTGATGTTTTCTACCAATAATCATTCTCAGAAATTCATGAAATCATGCCCTTTGATGTGCTTCTTCATTTTCAATATATGGTATGCTTTTATTTTTACTCCTGAAGAAATTTGTGTATGTGTTCATTCAGATATCTCAACTGATGGATATCTATATAGTTAACTTTTTGGCTAATTTTTCACTTCTATTTTGTCTACCTGAGTGACTATTTGTTTAAATACATTCATAAGAAGCAACAAAAAGATAAATTACGAAAGATTTCTGAGTTTTCAACACCTGTCTTCTCTATTTTCATCTTTGAACAAAGTGAATATTTTGTTAGCCTCTATCTGGTACACTTGTAACAATGTAAACCTTTTTGAATATTTGAAAAACTATGCAATTACTGTTTGGCTCTGTATGTTTATTGATACATTGGAAAATCTAACTTGCAATTGCATAACAAGGAAAAAATCACAGCTCAGCAGGCATCAAGTTGGATCGGGTCAAAATCCAAAATAAACAAATTTAATTAAAACTATGCTCGCAACACAATGCTACTTCTGACATGAAACACATCTGTTTACCTTCCATAGTATGTCATTGATAACGGTCATTACAAGTGTGTTGTTTTGTTTAACAATCAAATTCAAACACTTATTGAACACGAAAATCTGACCTGCAGTTACATGAAAATTGCTGAGACTGAAACATTTACAATGAAAAACAATACCTTGTCCAGTGGTAAAAGCAGCTGGTAGTGCCAAGAGTGGCAGTACTGCCTTAGCCACTAAAACTGATATCTCCCGTGCTTGGCAGCTGATGAGAGTATGGTTTTGGACATATGTAGAAAATTGGATTAAGTCAATGCACCATAATAAATTTTTTTTTAAATTTGGCTTTTTACTAGTAGAAATTTTTTACTCTATTCAGATTGAGAAATGGAGTGGTAGGATTGAAATCTATACAATCTTTTTATCTGCATAACCAACTAAAACAAATATGACCCAGTTTAACATGAGGTCCTACATGTATATTTATGGGTAGAGATATAAATTACCCCATCGCCACATAGTTCTGCCATGTCATGCTGCCAGACTGCTGCAACCAAGATGGATTGGATTGGAGTGGCGTCTGTATCTCTAGAAACTGAACACATTTGCATCAATCTTTTTTTTCTTTTCTTTTTTTTTTTTTTTTTTTTTTTTTTCTTTTTTTTTTTTTTCTTTTTTTTTTTTTTTTTTTCTTTTTTTTTCTTTTCTTTTTTTTTCTTTTCTTTTTTTTTTTTTTTTTTTTTTTTCTTTTTTTTTTTTTTCTTTTTTTTTTTTTTTTTTCTTTTTTTTTTTTTTTTTTTTTTTTTTTTTTTTTTTTTTTTTTTTTTTTTTTTTTTTTTTTTTTTTTTTTTTTTTTTTTTTTTTTTAAATGCTGCTTCAAAAAAAAATTTTGTTTTTCCTTTTCAGGTTTTACACTTAATCATCTAATAGGCAGAAAAGGTTGCCTTGACGCATTAACAGACTATTGGGATGTAGCAACCTTATTTGAAATGAGTGTCCTTGTAGGAAATTATCCAAAAGCTTTACAGGCAGCTAAATGTATGTTCACATTAAATCCACCAAACTGGTAAGTATAAATTAAGCAATGTTGAATCTGTTATTGAATCTAGATACAAGAAAATTGTTGCTTGGAATTTTTTTTAATAAATTGTCTCCTCGCATAATTTGTTTTGGACAGCATCAGTTAATTTTCAAATGTTTGATAAATAACTTTTTAACACTGTAAATGTTTTTTTGCATTTGTAGTAGCTTTAAATGTTATTTAAAATAAACACATACTTGATGAATTTCAATACCAAATTTTCTGGAAACTGAGGAAATCAGTTATTCAAAGAATCTTTCCAACTCCCAATATAAAACTTAGAAAAAAATAATTTTGACAAGGAACAAATCTCTTTTGCTTCTCATAATTATTTATAATACTTTAGACACTGACATCTTTTTTTCTCTTTTATTTTAGTGATAAATAGCCAATATTCTCATTCTAATAATCAAGTCAAAAGTAAAAAATATACAATGGAATACAATGCAGTTCTGACACTACTAGAATTGTTTAAAATCAAACATAAGCTATTATCTGATATCAGAGGAAAATTTTAAAATGTAAATTAGAATAATTCAATGTTTTAAGTAAAAATACAAATTACATGTGAAAGGAAAGTCTTGTGTCTGGATGATAATAATTAATGGCTCTAATTTCAAAGGATTGTAATCATTCACACCTTTTCTTGTAAAGGATAATATGATTTTATTAATAAGTTTCCCACAGTCAGCTGTTTTATTTTTGTTTTAGTAAATATATTTTTAGGTTTTATTTCAGACATTTTTCTTTGAGTTTTTCTTAATTTACATATTATTTCTGAATGAAAACCTAAGTAAAATATTAATGATTTTTGATTTGAGAAATGGACTTACAGCTTTTGCTGCTTTTTTTTTTTCTGTGAGGGAGGGGCTTATTTTAGCCTTTTTGGTTTTTCATGAATATATTACAAATTAGGAAAAGAGGAAGTCATCAAGGTATAGTTATATATCTGTTATGGGATCTTACCCATAATAATAATGATGGACTATTCCATACTTAATAAATACTGTGCCTCAGGAGTAGGCAGGGAGTCAGTAGTTCAAGTGATTCAGTAGTTCGAGTCGAGTCAGAGGCAGTCCGAAACAGTCGCATTCAGACAATTACTGCAAGACATTGGAATAGTGATACTGGTCGAGACTACATTGTTCTCTCTACTAAATCTGATTGTTCATACTACCACTTCTACTTCTCTGTATATATTCCTGTTTGTAATATATCTGTGTTATTCCATACCTGTGTTCGCATTTTTCTTTATTGGTTCTACCTTGGACTATCACCGTGGTACAAGGAACCGGACCATAACAATATCTATAGTACAAACAAATTATAGGATAAATTTGCCATACATAAACAGGATTAACCATGTTCTCTTTATATACCAAAATGCAATAAAAAAAAATTTTAGTTGATAGTTTTATTTGCTTTAATTGGACATACAATAAAAAGAGACAGGTCAAACAAGCAACAATGCTTCCTTTAAATTATGACCTCTTCCAACAGTGTAAGTTGCATTGTATACTTTTAACATTTTTTAAATAATGATTTTCAACTATATAAATACATCTTGCAAAAAAGTAAATAGTGAGAATTGCTCTTATACTTGGAATATATATTTTTTCACTTTACACCAAAAAACAGGTATCTCAAGTCAACAATTGGCAACATAAAACTGATTAGTAAGTTCCGGAAATCAGATGCTGAAGAATCTCACTACTCAAAATCAGATATACTTGTGAGTATCAATTTGAAAACCTTTCTGTTAAAACCATCTTTATTAAATTAAGAGGCTCTTGCATAGAATATAAATTATCTATGTTATAAAGATAAAATTGTTTTCTATTTTGGGATTTTTTTAGATGAGGTATTATCATACTTATATGCCTAGTTGTTTTACTAATGATGTTTCAGCATCATACTCTGTTATACATGTTAACTTTATAGAAATTTTGAACCAAACCATTTACCTAATCTATGGTGATATATTCTCATTCAACCCTGGGGTCTGGTAGTGTAACAAAAAATAATATACACTATTTCAGAGGAGGAAATAGAGAAAACTGATATGATATAATCCATGAGCTTGGAAAATAAAATGAGAACAACTTATTTGCATTAATTGAATGAAGTTTTGAGCTCAAAATTTTCAGAGGATTACAGATTACAATAGACACCTGAAGTAAGCTGTAGAGTACAATAGTTGAAGTGATATGAGCTGAACGTAAAGGCATATAATTGTTTATTTTCTTCTTTAAATGAATTTATGCATGATGAACACATTGATCTATGATTGTTTTTGTGCTATATACAAAGTATTAGACACTTTCCTTTCCTTTTATTAAGATTATTAATCCATTATTACTAAATAATGGATTAATAATCTTGGTGAAATAAAAAAAAAATATGCTCTTTATAAGTTAATTGAAAAGTTTTCATATTACTGTATGATAGCGTACATAAAACGAACACATTTTTTAAACTTCATTCTTGTATTTTCTTTTATTTCCAGTTATTTAATTTCTGGACAGACTTTTTTGTAGAAGCCATTGAAGAAGAAGTCACTGTTATACGATTCCCAGTAAGTATTCTAAAAAATAATGTTTAAATAACTTCTTAATCTTAACTATAAAAATTACATGATGATTTTTCATAGGTTTTGTAACACTAATATAAAATCTACACCATCTCTTTAGGCCAGGTTAGAAGAATAAGCATTAATGTCGACCTCAAAATATATGATTCTCACTTATATGGTGATAACAAAATACATTTTGTGAGAAGAATGACAGTGATATGATGTAGGGTTTTAATTTTTATGACATTCTCTTGGGGAGTCTGATGAAACCCATCTGCAATTTCATCACTTCATGCAGGTACACATATATAAAGTAATAAGTGTTCTGGGTTTGATACAGTTTCAAATACACTTCTTTATCACTGTGTGATTACATGTAAACTGAACCTTCTGAATGCACAGGATGAAAATGTCTGCATAGACACAAAATTATTTGATATAATCTCTCCATACCTGGGTAAACATTAAAATGATTGACCAGATAGCCAGATTTGCCACAAATATTCATTCACAGAAAATTTTTACTGGTTTTGCATCTAATGATATTTTTATTTGTTTTTCAAGATATAATGTATATAATCTTTTCAAGATATTATATATAAAAGCAATTCAGAAAAATATGCTTATTGGCAATCAATATTTGATCAACAAGTCATGAATGATAGTTACCTACAAGCATTTATGTTTTTAATTCAGTTCCTTTATCTGCTATATTAGAAAAGAATCATATTCTTTTTATCTGTTGAATTTTTTTTTCTTTAGTGCTTAGTTTTGGAGCCAACCCGTGTCCATATGCCCAGTTATATACAAGTCAATACAAATGATGAACAAAAGGTTAGTATGTTTGAATTTCTTTAGATACATGTTTGTTATTAATTTTTATCATTTCTTTTTATCTACAACTCTATAAATTGTTTAACAGACTGGCATCATCTATAAAATATAAGCTCCCAAGGAGTTAGTTTTGTTAGAGGCTGATGTTTTAATTCCATTATTACTTCACTGCATAAAAAAGGCCTTCCTAAAACTCTTCCATGACTACTGTGACTATGCTTATTTTCTTTCTTTTACCATGTCTTGTTAGAAAACATCATTCTTCTCTTCATCTTATAGTGATTTTCTAAGACTTAGACGGGCACCCAGTAAGGATCAAACTCCCTACTCAGTCATAATTGATCTAGCAATACAAGCTTTCTAACCATTACATCACATCAAGGTACCTCTCTTCTCTTCATCTTATATCTGGTGTTCTTACTACATTTTCTGCCCATTGAGCACCATTTAAGCAATCTTTTACTTCTATTATTTTTTTGTGCATTTCACTCACCTCCATTTTTGGCATTTAATCACTTCCAAGATAACATTTTTTAAACAAAGTTTTAGTGTTTTTTCAAATTTTGTTTACAGATTTAAATTCTTCCTATGTAGATTTCTATAAATTTCATGGAATTATTAAATTTTTACAGTATTTTCCCATTTAAATCTTCAATAAAACATTTTATGTAATCTGTTGTCTTAACATGAAAACTCTTTTTAAATACCTGCTATCATCATTGCATATTTTTATAGATTATTTCATTTGATATTTTTTCCCTTGATATTTGATTAATTGTTTAATATTCTGTTTTTACTTTACCATGAATCTGAACCAAGTACCAATATTCTCATTGTAATAATTATTTCAAGAATCTTATTTTTCAACATAAACCAGTTGGATTTACATTTTGAATTACTTTAAACATTTACCGATTGATAAATTTTACTATTTAACTATTAACTCTTCATCTGATTTTAAACTGATAAATCAGTATCATACTAATGTAACTAAAACAGATTTAGTTACTGAATATACAGGTTAACTACTTGAAAAATCAGTACTTGGTTCAGATATTTTAAACTAATAATGACTTGTCAGCTTTCTTCTTTTTTTTTTTAAATTTACCTGAATATTATTTGAAATTTTATTATTAATTGTAATAACATTTTTTATTGTTAGATGTCAAAATGTTTTGTTCATTCCTGTCCAGATTCACTAATGATAACAAAATAATTGCTTTTTTCACAAAGATTTTGCTTAGTGTTTCTAAAACTGAAACATGCAATAATATTGATAAGAAAACACAAGATTTTCAGTTTAGGCAACAAACGAACAATTCATGTAAATATTCGTAAAGCATTGTCTTTCTAAATATTCTGTCAGGATATAATATTCAAATTCTAATTGATATTTTATTACATAATTTTGTCATTTACAAACTGAAATTTATCCTATTAGTGTTTCATTTTTAAATATTTTTTCCTACCAGAATATTCATTTATGGAATGTTACTGACCAGGATGATCAAAAAGCCAATGATTGGACATTTCCTGTAGATACAATTAAAAAAGTTAGGTAAGTTATTTTTGGTTTCTTTATTCCAACATATTTAATCCTAAATTTTTCATAAGTTATGATGATCGATAGAGATGTTTCTGGAACAGATGCTCATAAGTATTCATTCTTGTTTCATATGCAGCAAAAATTTCAAAGTGTAAAAAAAGTTGGATTAATGGACAAATTTATAAAACTGGGTACTTCTCATCTTCAAAATTAAGTCATTAACAACTTAACCCATTGTATTTATAATAGCAACTCAAACATAATTCCTCCAGATAACTTACTGTAATAAGTTGGGCACCAATTCTTATCCTAAGGCTTAGCCTGCTTAATTTAAGCTTTAAAATATTTTGATTGTGAAATGATTGAATATGATTCAGGTGGAGGGAAAAGGAAGTAGCAAGTTGGTATCAGTGTCAGACGAAAAAAAATAAATATTTTTCTGTGTACTGAAATTTCCCCTTTACCTTGGCCACGAGAACTAAGAGACATTTTGTTATCAGAATCTGTTTAAAAAACTTTTTTCATTTATTCTTTGTGTGTACTTGCTGAATAGATAGATATAAGACTTGTCTTTTACTATTTAACTACATAGATTCAAAAGCTATTGAAACTATTTAGGATTGCCATATTTTCAAACTTCAGAAGTTTGATGTTTCTTCATAACTGTCATTACTTTTAAGTACCAAGATATTGGTTACTAGGGATTGTATTAATCACATTTATTAGTAGTATGCACAACTATATAGAATAAAAAATTAAGTTAAATTGCACCAGTTTCAGTAAAACAAATAGTTAAAGATCTTATTAACATGTAATGTTTAAATGAAATATTTGTTTCTTCAACACAAGAAAATAAATGTAATGTTGAGCAGTAACATATTTTAAACACCCTTGCAGTGCACCATGAAGCTTCATCAGTAATGTTTATTCCTGGTGCCATTGGGGATTTTACCTGAGCTTATGTAGGTTTGATTACTCTGAAATTCAGCCAATGAAAATTGGTTTTACAGTTACTGTGGTTTTTATCTTTCTATTTATCATCATTGAATTCTTCACACCAATTTTTCCCACTTTACCTTTTGTGGATTTGTCTTCTTGTTATTTTTTCATTTGGTATTTATTAAATTTTGTATTATATAAGTGTAACAACTGTGGCCAGTTAGAAAATGTAAAACAGATGAGTAGGCTAAAAATCAATAACTTAGGTGTATATGAAACTAGATGGTCAAACAACAGAGATTTTGTCAGTGACAATCACAGGATTATATATGCAGGGGTAGAGGAAAACTAAAGGAATAGGAGTGATACTAGATCAAGAATTCAAAAAATGCGTTCTGGAATACTACTAATCATCTGAAAGAATTCTGGTAGTCAAGTTGAAAGCCTTTCAATGTAGCCATCATAATAGTGTATGAATTGACAAAGTAAGGGAGAAGAAATTGAATCTTTCTACTCCATGCTAGACAATGCCAAGGCTCACTGCAAATCACAAGCAGTTTATAATTGTCATGGAAGACTTGAATGTCAAGCTGGGCAGGGAGAGGGCAAGGGAGATAGCTGGCAAATTCAGACTAAGATCCCACAATGAATGCAGAGAAGAATGGGTCCAATGGTACATAGCAAATGCCCAGGTAATAGCCAACACATGATTCCAAGAACATCTGAGATGATTATGGACATGGAGAGGCTTAAGAGGAGAAACTAAAAACCAAATTGACTACATAACTATTAACAAAAGATACAGGCATGCAATGGTTCAGTGTAAAACCTAACCAAGTGCCGACTGCAGAAGTGTTGTACGTAAACTAAGAGTGAAACTATGGAAATTGAAGAAGCCTAACACAGCACCCAAATTGCAATGCAACAAACTTCCAAGTGACCTGAACCTGAAAGAAAAATATATGGACAGTGTGACGAGTAGGGATAAAATGAAAACTCAAAATGGGACATGCTAAAAGAAACTTTAGTGACAACAGCAAATCTGCCAAAATACAGAATGGAATACAGAAAAATATCAAAATAAGGACCAAATGCAGACAGGCTAAAGAGTAGCTAAACAAAAAATCTGAGAAATAGAGATTGAGTACCACAAAGGAAATATGCATAAACAAATAAGGGAACTAACAAAACAGAAGACTTTCTCATCAACAGGCTGCATAAAATCCAAGGATGGAACACTCATATTAGAGAAAGAAAAAATTCTTCAACACTGGAATGAATATATTGGAGAACTCTTCCACAATGAAAGAGAATTGGCAATACACAGAATTACAGACAGGCCTGAAATTTTAAAAACTGAAGTAGAAGTGGCACTGGCCAAATTGAACAGAAACAAGGTGGCAGGGCCAGATCGAATAGTAACAAAGATGCTGATAGCCTTAGGTGATTTTGGCATCGACAAGATTACAGAAATAATAACTGAAATCTACAACAGTGAGGATATACCAGAAGACCTAAGCAGATCTATTTTCATGGCACTGCCTGAGGAACCAGGGGCAAATGAATGTGAGCTCTACCGAACAATCAGCCTAACACATAACAAAACTAATCATCCATATTCTGATGAATAGAGCGCACAGCAAAATCAGGCCAGGACAAGAACAATGCAAGTTCATTAAAGACACTAGAATAATGAACGCATTATTCATGCTCAGAATGTTATCAGAAAGAGCAATAAAAATGCAGAAGAAGGTGCACTTGTTTTTTATAGACTACGCAAAGGCATTCGACAAAGTACACTACAAAGCTCTGTTAGAGCTGCTCAGCAATCTTGACATATTTGGGAAAGACATTAGAATAATCAAAAAGCTATGCTGGCAACAAACCGCTTACATAAAGATAAAAAAATGAGTTCAGCAGTTATACAAAAATAGAAAAGGGCATAAGGATGTGTCTTCTCACCAGTCTTATTCAACTTATACAGCGAGGCAATTCTGAGACAGCTGGAGTGCCTACCAGGATTCATCATTGGCGGTCACAATCTTAACAACATAAGATAGGCAATTGACACTGTACTGATAGCAGACACAGAAAGGAAACTACAAAACCTCCTACAGAAGGTAGCAAAAGAGTGAGAAGAAGGGACTAAACATAAACTACAAGGAATGCATGATGAGCCCAAAATTCGATTTACAGGCTGGGGACACTATAATCAAGCAGGTGCAGAAATTTAAATATCTGGGAAGTGTTCTGACAGAGTAAGTGCGACATTGATATCTGAAAACATATTGGGATGGCCAATGACGCATTCCAAAAGCTAAGCAGACAGGAGGGTTTCATTGGTAACAAAGAAAAGCATACTGAACTGCTACATGATATCTGTCCTCCTTTATGGCAGCAAGTGTTGGACAGTCTCCTCAAAGATGAAGAGACTCTAGGCAACAGAGGTGTGGTTCTAAAGAAGGATGCTATGGATACCATGGACTAAACATGTGAGCAATGATGAAGTTTTGGAGAGGATGCAAACAAAAAGGAAACTTATACTTAACATCTGGAAGAGGCAGCTGAAATTTTAAGGGCATATAATGAGAAAGGAGAGCTTGGAAAATCTGATACTCACAGAACTAAAAGAGGGACAAGGGAAAGCAACACGTGACATACTTAAGTCTTAAGCAGGTGGAGGGTAGAACAGGGTCTGGGAGAAATAACAAAAAATCAGTTTATTGAGCACTACAACGGACAGGAGGAAGTGGAGTCATGATCACCTACATCCTGAAGAGACATGGCACATAAAAGAAGAATATTAGGGTGACTTGTGCCTAAAACATTCATGTGTGAAAGAAAAAAAATTGTAAATGTCCGATTGAATCAATAAGATAGAATGTAATTACGGGTTTTATCAACATGTAATATATAGGCGAAATATCTTATCAGCTAATTCAGTATAAATAAATTCATTGATAGATATTTCAACTTTTTCCAAGTGGCCAGTCTGAAGTTATTATGCAAATCAAATAAACCTTAATAACTCAAAAAAAATTTGAACCAATATTTGTCAAATTTAAACTCGTCCATTTAGTAAAATATTTGATGAAATTTTCTGCTTTTTTTAATGATTTTGGAATTTACGAAAATGGATACTGAAATTACTATGCATATTAAACTAATATTAGCTTCAAACCTGTGAAATCTAATAAAAACTATTTTTTCTTTTTGTCTATAATATATGTTGAAATATGGTTAAAGGGAAGGATCTAACAACTGCTGAAAAACAGAAAATAACAAAGTTATTGAGTGAGGCAATGTCCACATTGGAGATATCAAAGGAGCTTTGCTTAGATCATTGAATGATAAAAAAAGGCTGTTGAAAATATAAGTAAGTTGAGAACTCTAAGCAAAGGAAAATGCTTTAAGAACTTGCTCGTTTTGAGATGAACGTAAACTAAAACAAGTTATAGTGAAACAACCACTTTTGACCAGTGTTCAGATCTTTGAAAAGGTTTGAATTGATGGAGTCATGGACAAAATGTGTAGAATACTTCGTGAATTGTGATCTGTAAAAAAAAAAAAATCTCCAAGGCAGCCTCCTCTCACTAAAGCAAATATTTTAAAATGTCCAAATTGGGCCAAGAAACATGAAAATTAACTTTTCTAAAGTAATTTTTATGGATGAATCTCTAGTGAAATTTGATGGACCTGATGGATGCGCCAAAGGATGGATTTTATCCAATTCAGATGTGCCTGTGGCTAAGAAACAAGGAGGCGGTAGTGTTATGATATGGGCTGGAATTGTTGACCAAACTCTTATTGGACCGTACAAAGTTGATAAAGCAGTTAAACTGAACAGAACTGAAGTTTGTTTAGTCCCTTCTTCTCACTATTGTGATTTTTTTTTTTTTTTTTTTTTTTTTTTTTTGAACAAGACTTTCTTTGCATGGTACAAGTCCCAGTCCTGCAGTTTCAAAGTGAATATCTATTTATGTATGACAATGCTCCTTCTCATGTATCTAAGCTTACATGTGAATTATTTGAGCATAAGATTTACAGCAGAGAAGATAATGGATTGGTCACCATCAAGTCCTGATCTGAATCAGATTGCAAATCTATGGTTAATTGTGAAGATGAAATTATATAAAGGTGGCAAACAACATAACGGCAAAACAGACCTATGGGAAGCAATTAAAACTATCATGTTGGAAATTGAACCTGCTGATTTAACAAAATCAATGGATAATAGATTACTGACAGTTATTGAGAAGAAAGGTCACTATATTAAAATGTAAAGGATTCAACGACTTATCATGTGTTTGTTATTTGTTCCATTATAGATGTTCAATTTTTGATGATATTTATTAAGTAAAATGTGATTATTTGGCTTTGCCTAATAACTTCAGATGGCAGTTTTTTAAATATTAAATAACTTCAATAAAACATTGATACTACCTAAAATTTTAACTTGGGCTTTATTTTAAATTGATTGTTTAAAATTTGACATGAAAACAAATTCAAATTATTGAGGTTTATATGATTTCCTTATTAAATTCAGACAGGGTGTAGATTAATAATTGTTACTTAATAATGGTGTCATTTGCTTTTTCTAGAGTGTTTTTGTTTTTTTAGTATATTCCAGAAGTGAACAAATCCTAACTAGGAAAGAAAATGGTGGCAAAACTTCAATGAAATAATTAATGTTGCTAATGCAAAATTTCAACATAACTTCATAGAGAATCATTAAACTATTCTTGATTTCTTGTAGAAACATTTCAGGGTCCTCAACCAAAGGGGAATTTCCAGGAGAGAGAAAAATCTTTTACTTTCTCTTGTTTTTTCTATTTGCTACAACTTCTCTATCATAATAATCCATGTAAATGTATATGTACTAATATGGAAAAGAATGAAGATTTTCAATAATATATGCATATTATTTGAATGACAAGATGCATTCCAATATTGGAAAGGTGAGAGATGCCTTTCTGACTTAAGTGAAAAGGGTGCATTGGGGAAAAAAAAGAACCACTGAAAATGAAATCATTTATTATGCTTAACATTTTTGTGCTATAACATGTTCTGATATACTTAGAATATAAGAAAATATATCTTAGATTTTTAATCCTGCTTAATCATTTCTTCTTTCAAATGACTAATCCTGTCTCTTTCTATTGCAGTTTGTATAAAAGAGATTCCCGTGCAATATTTCTGTATGTGGAAGAAAATTCTGATGACTTTCACATTTATTTTTCTTCAACTGTGCAAGCAAATGGGTAAGTCAAAAGTAAAATTTATATTAAAATTTAAACATTGTATAAATTTTTACTTATTCATGAACTAGTCTGTATATCAGATGGGAAAAGATTTTTTCATATTTTGTTAATTTATTTTTATTTGGACAGGTTTTATAAACTTGTTAGTGAAATGATTGCTGATGACTGTAATCCGTCCGAGGCTGAAGAAAGTGATGGCTCCCTAGAAGTAAGTCATTGATATTTGTTTATTCATGATAAAAAAAAAATAATAATTGTAAGCTGTAACAGTAATAAGAAATCAGAGATTTTCTGTTCTTAATATGAAATCCAGTTTTAAATTTTTTGAACAATAACTATTGAACTTGAGAAACATATTTTCCTGGAAAACTGTTTTTAACATTGGCTGCTTTGTCAATGCTGAATGTTTCCATATACCATTACCATTCTGTATTTGATTATGAAAAATGTTGACCTTTCAATGCCTATTTCAATTTTGAGAAAAACTAAATCAGAGCTTCAACAATTTTTCCAAAACTTTTAAGCTTTGTTTTAAGCTTGTTTGTTTTTTACATATATAATTTCAAGATATAATATATCTTAGATACATATAAATTTCAAGATATAGCATATCTTAGATACATATAAATTTCAAGATATAGCATATCTTAGATACATATAAATTTCAGGATGTAGCATATCTTATATACGTCTAAATTTCGAGATGTAGCATATCTTATATACGTCTAAATTTCGAGATGTAGCATATCTTATATACGTCTAAATTTCGAGATGTAGCATATCTTATATACGTCTAAATTTCGAGATGTAGCATATCTTATATACGTCTAAATTTCAAGATGTAGCATATCTTATATACGTCTAAATTTCAAGATGTAGCATATCTTATATACATATAAAATTTCAGACTTTAATATCACGCTTGTTTGTTTTTTTATATATATTAGAACCATTGGAGTCTGAATTTTAAATCGGCTCATTGAAACCAGAAAATGTTTGTTTTTATATATATTTATAAAATATTTAAGGATTGTGGTTTATCAGTTTGGGTATTTTTTATTTAATCATTTTACAATCTGATATTTTCTTTTCAGTATGAATATGATTATGATGATAAAAACAGAAAAATAGTTCTTGGTCGTGGTTCATATGGTGTCGTCTATGCTGCCCGTAACAAGAAGACACAAGTTCGGATTGCCATTAAGGAAGTTCCAGAAAAAAACTTAGAGTAGGTTAAAAAATATATAAAATATTTAAGTACTCTCCTGTGTGTGTGTGTGTGTGTATATATATATATATATATATATATATATATATATATATATATATATATATATATATAACATTTGTTTTAGGATTCATCCTCTTCACTTAACACCTGCAAAAAAACAAATGACTTTTATTTCCTAGAAAAGATGGTTTAAGATATTAAGTAACTAGAAATTTAAATAATATATATATATATATATATATAGAGTAGCTGCATGTCAAAATTAAAATTTATTCATTTTGTTTTTCAAAAATGACTGCAGACTAAATAATAGGATCATATATATATATATATATATATATATATATATATATATGCACTCCCAAGTTTGAAATATTCATCTTTACTCCATTTATATTTATTTCTTTTTCAATGACTAAATTAAATCTTACCAGTTAGAATTAATAAAAGTTGAAGCTGATTACCCATTAATCCTTCATATTTAAAACTTTAAATTCCTGTCATATAATACTTTGTGTATTACCAAATTAAACTCAGTAAATAAACTAATCCTGTCACCAATAAGCATTAGGATAAAAAATGTTCCCTAGAGACATGTATTTTATTTAGTTATTGGAATCTGTACATTTTCTTCATTGTTGTACATCTTTATTGCCAATAAATTATAAAATAATTGTTAATTTTTGTCTTTATTTATAGAGAAGTACAACCGCTTCATGAAGAAATCAAACTCCATTCCCATTTGTCCCACAAAAATATTGTAAAATATCTTGGCTCAGTCAGTGAAGATGGATTCTTCAAAATCTTCATGGAACAAGTTCCTGGAGGTAATGTTTAAAACTTTTCTATATTTCCTTGCTGCAACAATAAAAAAAATTTTAAAATGACCTGCAGTTTAATTACACATGAGTTATTTACAAATAAGTTTTAAAATATTTCAAAACAACATTACAAGTTCTTTAGTCATGTAATAAAATCAGATACAGGCACACAATCTCTGATCTGAAACAGTTTGGACCAGAGACATATTTCAGAATGTTAATCTAAGTAATGTATATAGCATAGACAAGTCATTAGGTGCTGATAGGAGAATCTATAATTCTCATAAATTTATCTGAGTCTTTAAAATCATAATTATCCAAAATGAAACAAAATATCTGTGAGTAGCAGAGGCATGTCTAACTAGTAAGAGCAAGGATACAACTGTATATATTGAGCATCTTTAAATAGTGATTTTTTTCACAGTGTAGCTTAGATGTGGTGCAAGGCCAAAAGAAGCAGCCACCCAGTGAGGATCGAACTCACTACTCAGTTGTAATTGTTCTAGCGAGACAAGCTTGCTAACCATTACACCACCTCAGGGTACCCAAATCATCTTGAAATATCAAAACCTGGTAAAGTTCAGTGAAGGTAAATGTTAAGATGTGAATCGAGTTGCATCATGTTTGGTGTCAAATGCAAGCTTTGATATGCAAATGACATGGTTTATGGACCTTTTCAGAATTTCAGATAAGGGATTCTATGACAGTATAAAAATACCATAAACAATTATATTTCTCTTGTAATTAAATTAACTATATTATTAAATTCAATAATTCAGTTCCTTTAGTGTACCTGAATTGACTTTTTTATTTATTTATTTTTTAATTTTTCTCTTTTTTCTCTTTTTTCTCTTTTTTCTTTTTTCTTGTGTTTTTTCTGTTTTCTTGTGTTTTTTCTGTTTTCTTTTGTTTTTTCTGTTTTCTTTTGTTTTTTCTGTTTTCTTTTGTTTTTTCTCTTTTCTTTTGTTTTTTTCCTCTTTTCTTGTCTTTTTTCCTCTTTTCTTGTCTTTTTTCCTCTTTTCTTGTCTTTTTTCTCTTTTCTTGTCTTTTTTCCTCTTTTCTTGTCTTTTTTCCTCTTTTCTTGTCTTTTTTCCTCTTTTCTTGTCTTTTTTCCTCTTTTCTTGTCTTTTTTCCTCTTTTCTTGTCTTTTTTCTCTTTTCTTGTCTTTTTTCTCTTTTCTTGTCTTTTTTCCTCTTTTCTTGTTTTTTTGTTTTTTTTTTTTTTTCTTGTCTTTTTTCTCTTTTCTTGTCTTTTTTCTCTTTTTTGTCTTTTTCCTTTTTTGTCTTTTTTCTCTTTCTGTCTTTTTCTTTTTCTTGTCTTTTTTCTCTTTTCTTGTCTTTTTTTCTTTTTCTTGTCTTTTTTTCTCTTTTCTTGTCTTTTTTCTCTTTTCTTGTCTTTTTTTTTTTTTTCTTTTTTTTTTTCTTTTCTTGTCTTTTTTTCTCTTTTCTTGTCTTTTTTCCTCTTTTCTTGTCTTTTTTCCTCTTTTCTTGTCTTTTTTCTCTTTTCTTGTCTTTTTTCTCTTTTCTTGTCTTTTTTTCTCTTTCTTTCTTGTCTTTTTTTCTCTTTTCTTGTCTTTTTTTCTCTTTTCTTGTCTTTTTTTCTCTTTCTTTTCTTGTCTTTTTTCTCTTTTCTTGTCTTTTTTTGTCTTTTCTTTTTTTTTCCTTTTCTTGTCTTTTTCTCTTTTCTTGTCTTTTTTTCTTTTTTTTCTTTGTCTTTTTTTCTTTCTTTCTTTGTCTTTTTTTTCTTTTCTTTCTTGTCTTTTTTTCTCTTTCTTTTCTTGTCTTTTTTTCTCTTTCTTTTCTTGTCTTTTTTTCTCTCTCTTTTCTTGTCTTTGTTCTTTTCTTGTCTTTGTTCTTTTCTTGTCTTTGTTCTTTTCTTGTCTTTGTTCTTTTCTTGTCTTTGTTCTTTTCTTGTCTTTGTTCTTTTCTTGTCTTTGTTCTTTTCTTGTCTTTGTTCTTTTCTTTTCTTTGTTCTTTTCTTTTCTTTGTTCTTTTTCTTTTTTCTTGTCTTTTTTCTTTTTCTTTTTTATAACAAAAGATCTGCTTCTCATGACCTACAAAATTATTTACTCTCATTATCTTAACTCATCTGTGTTTTGGTGTAGTCAAGGGCATATTTTTTTTTCTCCTACTTTTGTCCTTTTTTTTCTTTTAATATATCTGAATTTTAAACTCAATTATGAATCATTAGTTTAAACAAGCAGAATCTTTAAAATATTGGTTAACCCGAGTCAATGAATGGCAGCTTTCATAATTGGTAGGATAAAAAAATAATTCAATAAGTTCATTAATGTACCTTCCATTTAAAAGTGGAAATTATTTCTTTATTTCAGGGAGTCTATCCCAGCTACTCCAGAGTAAATGGGGGCCACTGAAAGATGCTGAGAAAACAATTGTTTATTACACAAAACAGATTTTAGAAGGCCTTAAATATTTGGTTTGTTTTAATTTTATTTTATTATTTTTTTCTTTACAAAATAAAAATTTTGTTTATTCTTGTAGGTTTATAATTCAAATTGATTTATTAACATAAACTTAGCTTTTAATTATTTCACTGACCAGCTTTTATTCTAACTTTGACTGATAGAAATATGCCATGTCCTTCAGGATATAGCTGATCATAGTTTTCTACAGATCCCTTTCCTTTATTATCTGTAAAATGATATATATTTATTATTATTAATTTTTTTTTTTTTTTTTTTTTTAATGATAGTGAGATAGTTTCCCAATTGTGTCCTCTAGTTTTGAATTCAGAATTGTCCTTCTCTTAGACTGGCTACCACCCAAAGCTATTTAATTCCTAGCTGGGTGGTGAGTAGGAGAGATGGATTTATGCCTTTCCCAAGGATATTAGTGAAAAAGTTAATGCAACAGCCTAGGCCAGAATTTGAACTCTGCTCACAAATTTCACTTTCTACACTGATAATTATTATGCAACCTTCAGCATGAAAGGAAATATTATTTAAATTGCAATTTCTGTATATAGAAAATTGACTCTAATCAATTGCCTCCTCTACTATCCACTTATTGATAGTGTTATATTTTCAGATTCCATCATAGAATATCTTTATTTAATGTAAGCTTTTCTTTTAAGCAAGACTTTTGAAATTACTTCTATTTTTGTTATATATTTCAGCATGATAATAAAATAGTCCATCGAGATATCAAAGGAGATAATGTTCTAGTGAATACTTACAGTGGAGTTCTGAAGATCTCTGATTTTGGAACTTCAAAGAGATTATCAGGAATCAACCCAAATGCAAACACATTAGCAGGTATGTCACTAAAAACTCACTGATTCAATCTGATTCTTGAGAAAAACACACACACACACACACACACACCATTTAGTATATATTATTTACTTAAAAATTTGATCTACACTTTTGAATAAAATATCCCACTTTGCTTTCCTTTTTATATATATATATATATACACACACACACACACACACACACACACACACACACACACACACACACACACTTATATACAGGGGGTGCGAAAGTAGATATATTAGTAATGAAAACCACAACATATAAACAAGTATTGTGCTAATTACAGAAACATTGTTTTGTGTGCACATTTTGCTTTTCATTACTCTATACCTACTTTTGCACCCACCTGTATATGTATATTCTTATTATAAATATCATATTTAGTGAATACATGTGTTTAAGTAGATATGTTTTTTAAACAGTGTTATTGATGTGTACTTGCTTGGGTAATAAAGTTTTCAAAAACAGAGATATCTACTTTAAACATGTGTATCCTCTAATTATAATGCTTATAGTAAGAAGAAATAATGTATTATAAATAAAATATATTAATTCCTTATATATATATATATATATATATATATATATATATGATCATTGTAAAGTTTGTGCCCAATTTTCATTGTTAATATAAAATGACTGCAACTTGACACAAGTGTTTGTTTTTAGTGCCAATTTCTGGTGTGTTCTAGATTGTCCAAGAAATACGAAAAGTTTCAATCAAAAAGTGAATTGGTAGATTTTGTCAGATCAACCATGCTATGGGTGACCTAAAGTCAATGAAGATGCTCTGCTTGATATTGTAGAGAATAAACCAAAGATTTTGATAGAAGAGATTGCTAAGAATTTGAAAATCAATATCTCATCTACCTTTCACCATTTGAAGTGACCTGGGTTCAAGAAAAATGGCTGATTTTTGGCAAATTGAAAAGGTGTCATTTTCTGCCATGACAACACAAGAATGCATGTTGCAAAACGGACCTTGCATAAACTTAAGTCTCTACTGAAATTTAAATTTAGAATTTAAATGACAAAAATTTTCTCTGTACAGTTAGTCAAATACTACCTCACAACATCCTTCAAACAAAAAAATATAAAGTTTCTATGAAAATGGTATCAACAAGCTTATAGAATGATGGGAGACAGTCATTAAATGGAGACTCTGTATTTGACTAAATTTTTTTTTTTTTTTATGTAAAATTTCGTTTTTAATTTTCTAATTAGGCAAAATCTTTTGCAATGATCTAAAATATATAGGGCTGCAGAAGTAGGTATACAGTAAGTATTATATATTGTTTGTATAATCAATACAATTTTTTATTACTGTATACCTACATCTGCATTTGTTTGCATATTTCAAAGGAATTGATGATTCACACAAAAGCATTCTTTATCCAAAATTTAAGTGCAGTCAAGTTAGCAATTCTTTTCAGTTCCTGATCCCAATACTACCAGTTTCATGTTATTTGGAGAGGAGATGGGCACTGCCATGTAACAATGTCATGAAAAATTCAGCATCATATGAAGACAATATTTTTATTCTACTAAAATCTTGAATGTTTGTTTATATGACAGGAATTATTTACTGTGTAGCATAAAACACAATATAACTTTACATATTTATTTGTTATACAGTCTGATCTCCCCTTACTAATGAGATATTCTGTTGTACTGGTAACAAGGAATTATTATATATCAATAAGCAAACATGCTTCATGTTACCATAACAATGGAATGTCTTATCAATAAGTAGAAGAGATCAGGTTGGTAATATATCGCTTTTTATTTCTTTGATTTTCATATTTGATTTCTTTAGTTTTACTTTTTTAATAATTTAAAAAAGAATTCTTTATTAACTCTGACAATAGCTTTTTTTTTTTTTTTTTTTTTATCCTTTCACTAATTAAAGCCACTAAGATGCAGGAGTTACTGAGTGTGAAAGAATATGAAAAAAAAATATTATTAATGAGAGAGAATAATAAATGAACAGGAATTAAGACAACAGAAGAGTTCCACAAGCAAGAAGTATAACAGAAGGAACTGTTAACATAGAGCTTACGGTTACCTCAAACCATTTCAACTCTAAAATGATGAGACTTTGCTGCCAATATGGTACTGTGCTTAAATTTATAAAGTCTAGGTACCAAAGAGGGAAGCTCATCAGAACAATTACCATGAAATATATTTATAGAAAAGTCATAGAGAAGCTACTTTATGACAGTGGGTAAGAGACTGAAGCCAAGATGCCAGGTCAGGACCAATAACATTACAGATTCTTATTTGTATTTTATCAAGAATCTCTAAATACATAGCAGAAGCACCAGAGAGGTGTGGCAGCAATATTCAATGAAATATAGATAAAAATCATAAATTATTCCTGCAGAAAATATAACCAATGCAATTGCAAAATTAATCAAGTATTGCAGTTATTTTTTTAATGGCACCAAAATTTACATATTGATGAATTTTCTGTTTGTTTGAGAAACTGGTGATTAATAGATCTGTTTCTTTGATTTGATTTGGTTACTGATTTAATAACTTTAAAAAATTACTTGTACTAGTTATAACTCTTTTAATCTAGCAACTTTGTGAAGCTAGCTATTGACAGGCCACATAAAATGCAGGAAATTGACTCTTAAGGGAACATAAATTAATGAATAATATCAATTAAAATCCTTTGCAATTCCATTGCATTATAAATTTTAACAATTTTTAATATAAATTATAATAAGTGAAAATGGTTTACTTATGCATTTTAATTGGTTGTATTTTGTCGAATTAACAGATGTCAATACAATTTCAAACTACTAGTTTTTTTACACGTTCAGCTTAACAATATTATTTATAAACTTCTAAATTACCGTTCAAGTTGTAGTTAAAATAAATAAAAAATTTAAAAAAGAACTAACAGCAGATTTCATGAATTCTTACCAAATAGAACAAGTGTTTTATAATGAGTTGTCTTCAAAGATGAATGAGAATGTTGCTATTTATTTACTGCTCATGATATTATCAAATTAGTCAACATTGAATAAATATGAATCATGAGATTTAACTTTGCTACTGATATAAGTTGCTAGAATGATAAATGATGTATTTTTTTTAATTCACTCAAGTTACTGAGAGTCCAGGAACTGGCATAGCCCCAAAGGAATTTTTTTATTGCTCATTCTAATATGACTCCGGAAACTGAAGAAAGATTTTGGTACAAGTCATCAGCTCGCTACAAAAATCCCAATTTTCAAATTAGCATTCTGAAATATAGTCATTAAATCAAAATTTTAAAAACAAACCTATTGTTTATCATTGGAAAGGAAATTTGAGGATTAATAATCTGTTAGTAATTAGGGTCCCAAAATGAACTGGTTTGGAGATATCTTCAATTAAGTATTAAAGATAAAAATATGGTCGACATGATCCAATGTAATTTCTCTTTATTGAATTTGAGCCAACATTTTAAAAGCTTTGAAACATTTCTCATATCAAAAAGGGGAACAATTAAATGTCATAAAACAAAGACATGAAAAAGTATTCATTTAGTCATTTTGGAGCTGAAAGCTTCTGTAAATTAAAAGGATTAGTATTCTTTTTTTTAAGCTCATTAAAAAAAAAATTATTAAGTGAGCCAAATTTGATCCGCTTATGTTTGTCAAGTGTTTTTTTTTTTTTTTTTTATGTATCAAACAAAGTAATCAAATGTTTATAACTATGGAATAACACTCAGTTATAGTAATAGTTATATTCATTCATAATGCAAAATTTTGAAGCATTAAAACATTTATGGTATGCTTATGTAAAAGATTTTGTATTTCTTTCCTCAAAGTAAAACTAAAGATTTTATTAGAAATACATTCAGTGATTACTCTCTAAGATATAAAAACTTTGTAAATATCTAAGGATTTACTGAGTTTCAGAATATATTTAGCTAATTCTATAAATAACTTGTAAAAACTTATTTCAAATTTTATTTTCAGGTACAATGCAATATATGGCACCGGAGGTTATTGACAAAGGTGTCCGTGGTTATGGACCACCTGTAAGTATTCTTTTAATTTTGACATACCATAATTATTTATGGATAATACTCACTCTTGTATCATATCATTTTTATTTTTAGCAGCTAAATTAAACCTTTTGTTTAACTTTTTATCTAAAAATCAAGGATTTATATAGTTTACATTTTGTTTTGAAACACAAAATTTACAGCTTTTACAGTAAACACATGGACTTATTTACATGAAAATGCTCCAAGCTTGTGGTAAAAATAATTACCTAATGACTATTTTTCTGTAGCAGTGGAAGTGACATTACAACTTTGCTTACTATGCTGCCAACATGTATGAAATTGCCATGTCTATCTTTGATCTAAACACCAGTGAAGCAGTCTAAAACGTGCTTTATATATATATATATATATATATATATATATATATATATATATATATATATATATAATCTTTTAAAAAGTAAATGCAATGCTTGGTTAGTGATTTAAACTCTGTTACACATTAGTTTGGATCATACTTATAACTTATATTCAGTCATACTGTCACAAATATTGGCAAAGCATGTCACTGAAAGAGGGTTAATATTTAGTTCTTAGTGTCTAATATGTATTCCTAACTTTTCAGTTTAAGGATCTGGTTGGGAAGTGAATGTATATTCTATTAGATTAGAAAAAGGATGGAGAACACAATGGCTGAAATGCTGTGATAACAATAACAAGAATGAGGACATTAGTCCAAATGTAAGTAATAACTCCCCATCCCAAAAATTCAGACAGAAGGCAGTCAGGTGTAAATAACAAAGATGACGACATCAGTCCAAATGTAAATAATATAAATAATGATCTCTTCATCTCCCAAAATTCAGACTGAAATCAGATTCCATAATTTTTTTTTTTTTTTTTACATATGCACTAAGAGATAACATTGCCCCTCTCTCTTTCCTGTTTTCTTTTTTCTCTCTCTCTCTCTATGCTCTCTTGTATTCTCTATCTGCTTCTCTCCTCTCTCATATCCACTCCCTTACACACTCTTTCAAAATATGAGATGTGTGTGTACCCCCTTCTCATCTATTTTTTATGAATAAAGAGTTAAAAGAAATTTAAAATTTCAGTAAATGAAAGGCCAAATGTAATTCTTATCATTAATATAATACAAAAATATTACCACATTTTTTCTTTTCTTCTTAGGCTGATATTTGGTCCTTTGGCTGTACAGTTGTGGAAATGGCTACTGGAAAACTTCCATTTACAGAGGTAAATGTTTTATCTGGAAAACTTCAGTTTTTATTGCTAACAAGAATGGTATTCATAAAGAACCCTTTCCATTTTTAGACATAAAATTGCATACAAAATATTTAGATTTCAGCATTAAATAACCCATAAAGGTGTTGATATGCTGGTAAACAAAAACAACCAAACCAAATAATAATCTTTAGAAAAGAGTTGGAAAAAATCTGCATTAACAGTTAAAAGCAAAATTATGAAACTGAAATTCTGATAGTGTATTAAGATAATTTGTTATATTACATCAAAGAATATATTTTTCCAATAAACATAATTTATTTGCTAATAAATATTGATTATAACATATTTTTTTTTAAATATACTTAAATGTTTTCTTTTCAGCTTGGTCTTCCACAAGCAGCTATGTTTAAAGTTGGATATTATAAAATTCATCCTGCAATTCCTGAAAGCATGTCAGAGTCGGCAAAAAGTTTTATAATGCGGTAAAATCCAAGATTATCACTTTTCTTATTCATTTTGTGAATAGTTTCCATATGTTTTTACTCTCATTATTAAATATGAAGATTCATTCATAGGTTACTTGTAATAATTTTATAATGCTTTCTTAACTGACATATACTTACTGACTTTGGATAGCTGAGGATGTATTGTAATTCTATTGTATACAAAAATTTACAGTAGCTGTTTGCTATTTTCTATAATGTAAACTGACACAACCTTTTATTGATTTATTCATTCTATTAATTGTATTAATCCAGAATGATGGATTCCTAGTTGGCAAAAGATTATTGGTATTTTGACAGAAAAAATGTTGACTGAAATATTTGTATATTCTTTGAAATCACATTTCTTAAGTCCAGAATAGCTTTGATAAATGTTTTTTTTTGAGTAGAAACTCTATTCAACTGACAATGTTCCATATTATATGTTACCTCAGCTATTAGTTAAATAGTAGAGCAAACTGGGCTTTTCAACTTTGGTTAGTAACATATCTAGAAAAAGGACAACTCTCAATTCAGAATCATATGTAGCCCTGACAAAGCACTTACTATGCAGTTAACAAAAAAGTGTAGAATTCACAATAACTCTATGCTCGTGACTTTTATCTGATGGATGGAGGATACTATAAAATTAACAAGTAGAAATCATTCATTTTAACATGGTTAACTGTAAAAATCAGTTTGTCTTTAAAAAAAACTGTGGAGGATGATGTAAGAGTTTCAAGACATTTTTTTTTTTTTTTTTTTCATTCTTTATCCAAGGTTCCACTTTTAATTCAGTCAGTTCTTCAATATCTTGAACTTGTTAGAAGTGCCTGGAGTGAAACGGACATTAGTCTGAAAAGGGCTGCTGTAAAGAATGTACTCTTGTGGGAGGGGCCGTATATCTCAGTTCTATAAATCATGTTGCATTTGTTGAGGACAGGTTTTATTATGGTTAGCTTCTTTACTCAGAAATAAAGGTATATTTTTCCTAATATTCCCATGTATCATTAAATTGAGCCAATTGCTTTGTTTAATAGTTTGTCCAGTTTTCAAGAATTGATGATAATTCTTTTTTAAAGAACTCTCTATCTCCCTTCCACCCCAAGTAGATTGCTTTCTATTTCACTTTAGTTATCGAAAGCTCTCTTAGACTTGACCATGATTTTTCTTTGGAATTCTTACAATTTTTATAATGTGGCAACAAAGGTGAAAACCAGTCTTACCTAACCTAAAAAAAAAAATAAAAAAAATTGTGTTCTCTGTCCAATCTGTTGAAAAAGAAAATTGGAATCAAAATATGGTAATTGTTTGCACTTCCCTACCAATTTTGACCAATAACAACTTTTCTTACTCCAATAAAAGAACACTTCTTTAGGCCACACATTTGCTTGTCTCTTTGCGGATAAAGAAGGTAGTTATACATCCCAAGTTGTAATGTGGATTTTTTAACATTTTGATTTACTTCAACGGTATTTTCTCATGTTGGACATATGGGACTAATTTATGACCCTTAAAATTACAACATTGGACTTTTCCAAAAATGATTTTTCTTGAAACAAATTGAAAGAAAAGCATTCAAATACTTACTTTCTGTAGAATTAATTTTCCTAAGGTTTTCAAGTTTTTCTAAAACTCATAAATGAATGTAGTTCATGTGAATATTTTCTATTCTTTCACATGTGAAGGTAAATGGTTGTTTTAAAAGAAAGATGAAATACTTGGCTGATTTTGATAATTTTCAATAGTCTTAATTGGGGTGTTTGTATAAGAAGGATTAAGTTCAGGTGAATGTAAAATCTAAGGATACTTGCCTTAAATTTTGGTGGGTTACTCACTATATGTATAGCCTTAAAAGAGACATGGTAATTGCACACACTATATATATATATATATATATATATATATATATATATATATATATAAAAAAAATCCTGACAAGTGGATCGAACAATTACAAAGGTTTGTCTATGAAACTGGAGTCGATGTGCTGAATATAACATCAATCAGCTCAGTGACAAATTTTATTTGTACTGATCATATATATATATATATATATATATATATATATATAAAAATTTATTTTAATTGGTAATTTTTATTACTTCAAAAATTATTAAAGTTGATACTTCATATTTGAACTAGCTGCCCAAATTTTTATTTATTAAACAGTGTATTACATCTATTGCCCTGTGCAATTGAGAAATCTTAGTAAAGAAAGTGCATTCCCCCCAACAGGAATCAAACTTGCATCATCTGTGTATGAAGTATCTACTATAACAACTTTTGAAGTAATAAAAATGTTGGATTAAAATATTTTCAAATGCACAGGTGAATAGATGTAATACACTGTTTAATAAATAAAAATTAGGGGTCTATTTTAAATATGAAGTATCCACGTTTATATCGTTTAATTTTATATATATATATATATATAAAAACATTTACACATTTTATACATATATATTTTAACATTTAGATATTTATCAAACCTTAATCTCCCAAATATGCACGTTAAAGTAACGCGAACTGACAGCGTCTAAGAATTTGAATGAAACCTGTCATGTAATTTATTGGGGTTGTTGTAACTTCTTCCTTTAATGTCGTTCTTATCATTCACCCCTTAGCCATCTATATCTAGAGACGAGACACGTTAAATTTGAGCAACATCTAGCCGACACACTGGGGTTAAAATAGAAACTAAAAATGATACATATGACACACTCATATCCTCTCTCCCACCTCACTTCGTTAACTTTACGTATACTTGATGAGGTCCATAAAAACGTGTGAATTTTTCTTTTCATTTTTCATTTCAGCTTTTGGAAGTAAAGTCTGATGATCCAGAACCCTGTTAAAGGGGTTATGGTGAAATAGCTTATTACATGGAATCTTAACGTGGTCTGTCTTTTATTCAAAATAAAATATATATATATATATATATATATATATATATATACATATACACACACACACACACACACACAAAGTGGTGGCTGGGTGCTTGTATTTTAGTATGCCTATCTACTGGGGTATCTCAAGCACATTCATGTTTGTTCAGCACCTACAGAGCCCACCCATAATGTATACTGTAACTATTGAGTGGACCTTAGTTACAGTTTCTGGGATAGAGTGCATTACCTGCTCAGATCAACTGTCTGAGCAAGGTCAGTACACTCAAACCCTCAGCCACAATGACTCGTGAGTTCATGCTAGTACAACCATTGACAGCTCCCAAATAATTCCATCTACCTAATTTCAGTTACAAGTCTTAGGTCAACCCATGGTGTGGTTTTCAGGAACTTTCAAAACCTGCTACATGCTGGAATTGCTTTTCCAGGCTGATAACATCAAAAAATCACCCAAACCTGGGTCAGAAAGTGAACATTCTAACCCCTCGGCCATGTACCCATATATATAAAATGTGTGTGCGTGTGTTTTATTGAATTTGACAAGGGATGGCTACCTGTATGCTGAATCAAAGAATGTAATAATAAACTCAACAAAATTCAACAAAACATTTGTTTAGTTTAATATTCAGGAAGTATTAAACATAAATCAAATGTAGAGCAACAAAGTTTTTAATATAAGTACAATGTTACTTAGTGTCATTTGTCTGACAGTAAGAATAAACTAGTTAGATTATGCAATAATACCTCGCTGTCTGCAGGAATTGAAACTGCAAAGTCCTCCCTGTGTGTTGAATTTGCAACTGTAGTTTCACTTGTGGTTGGCCCAATGAACAATGCTCTCCTTTTCAAATCATTTATTAAGCTAAAACTAATTTATAAAGATGTTAAAATATAAATGAAAAAGACATAGATGTTTTTAATAATATTAGTATTTTGAAAATATATATTAAAAAAAAAAAACTGAATAAATTTACAGGATGCAACGGATAAATTTTTGTCTAAATTACGCAAAAATGAAAATAACACTGACATCACATTTTATCAAAATTACACAAAAATATCTTGAAAATATCTTTTGGTCCTACCTAGGTTTGCTCTTATCCATGTATTTTACCATCCACATGGAACCAATTTGGCACAAATAACAAATCTTTATTTTATTTGTGTGTTTACAAATTCTCTTCAGTATAAGTTCAAAGTTTTATTTTTTTTTTATTTTTTTATTTAGATTCTTGTCATAAACATCAATCATTATGATTGTATTATTGTTTGATTTTTATTTATTTTTTCAATTTAATTAATGTTCTGTCTTTCTGTTTTCAGTTGCTTTGTTGCAGAAGCTGAAAAACGTGCTTCATGTGCAGAATTAATAAAGCATCCATTCCTTTCCTTGTAAGTTGTATGAATTATTTTCTTAGTCACAGGATTATAAATAACTTGAATAATCCACAAAACATTTTATTCAACATGTTTTCTTTAACCACATCCACTTGGGGTCAGTTTAAACTGACACTTATTTTTCTCCATATATTTTGAATATTTTGCTTAAAATTTGTATTTTATAGATCTCGGAAAAAAATTTTCAAACATATTTCAGTGAAATTTTCACTGTCCGAAATTGTAGTTTTGGTATATATTGTGGAAAAGGTGTTAGTTTAAATTGATGCTAAGGAGGATGTGTTAAAAAGTAATTTGACAATTCACATTAGCTTCCTTAAGAGGCTTATTATTATAATTTTAAGTCATTACTCAGAGCTTTTGGCAATGCTCGATCATAGTCACATATATAGTAAAAGCATTTGAAACTTGATTTATCTAACAAGAATATTACTTAACAAGGACAATTTTCATTAAGATTAAGAATTAAAATAGATTAATTTGTAAAATTCATCATTAACTTATAATGAACATTTTAATTTTTAGAAGTTTTGAAACAATTACATGAAATTAGATCTTTTTAAATCTTTAGTCAATTTTAGAATTTTCCTCTCTTTCTTTTCTATGACAATAAAAAAATTAAATTACTGTTGGAGATTTGCTGACTGACTTGGAAATTCATAATCCATAATTAACAATTAATTTCTATACTTTATAATCAGTGCAGTTGTAAATTTTTCTGTATATACAGGGTGCGATGGATAAATTGTCGTTCAAATTACACAAAAATGAAAATAATACTGGCATCTTATTTTAGCAGATATATTTACCAAAATTACACAACAATACCTTAAAATACTAAACAGTAAATTTATTTAATAAAATCACCATTGGCTTCAACCACATCCTCCAGGCAACTTCAGAATCTCCTGCAACTCTTCTGGATGGTCTCCATGTTTAAGTTGGTGAATGCTGCCATAATTCTTGCCTTCAATTCATCTTTGGTATTACAGGAGTTTTATTGCTCTCTTACTTAACTATGTCCCACACATAATCAAGGAAGTTGCAGTCTAGGGAGTTAGTTGGCCAGATGTAAGTGGTAATATGGTTGCAGAAATTGTCTGGCTGCCATGACTGGGTTCTCTTGCTTGTGTGGCAGACACATAGGGTCTTCCAGCAGCCACCCTCTTGACCCAAGACAGCACTACCACCTTAAGGCCCTTGATGTAGGCTTCCATGTTGAGTCTGAGGCCCTGTAGGAAGATGAATGGAGGCATAATGTCGCTATCACTACTGATCACTGCAAACACCTTCATAATCACCATTAGACTCATCCAACTCTTTCCGAATCCTCTGCACTGTCCTCAGCTTGACACCCAAACACTCTCCAATGTTTATATTGGAGATTCCCATGCAAATGCCAAACAGAACAGCATGCCATTTCATGGTGCCCAACTAACCCTACTATACTGTACAGTCAACAAAAACAAAGCACATGCACAAAAATATAAAATGGCGACATCGCACTCTGTATATTTAAAATTCTACATATTAATCATTCAAGGAAAGTTTTTTTTTTTTTTTTTTAAATTCAACAATTATGTCGACCTACACCCTCCCCAGTTGTCCAAGACATCCAATACCGCAGTGGATCGATGAAGTGATCACTTCGATCTAAGTCCTGCCTTATCCCACATTGTGATTTGCTTTGATCATAAGGTGGCCAAGATCAAATCATCATCAGTTATCTTCATATTGGCCTGGCCCCAGCAAGGCGAAGGCCCAAAGAATGAAAATAACGCTTAAATAAATTTAAAAAAAATAAATATTATTTTATATCAAGTCCTTCATACAGTAATTGGTTAATTATTGTTAAATCAAAGCGTTCACATGCAAGCAATTATCATCCCAACCTGCTTCTAACTCGGATGTGACACTTTGTTGACTTGGTAAAGTTTGTTTTACTGATTTAGTAAAGTTCCGCACAAGGCTGATGTCAGAGGCTCTCATCAGATAATCATGTAAAGTGTCTCGCATCTGGTGGCTGGAACAAATTCTCTCAATGATCTCTCTTCAGGCATTCATATTTATTGATGTTTGCCTAAATCAGCATGGGGCATGGTGTAGTTGAAGAATTTGGTATTTTCTCCTCCTGTTATCTTCATTGTCTTAGGTCCTGAAAATTAAATTACTTCATAATTTTGGGGTGATGGTTACAGGCATTACTCTGCCTCATAACTTCCACTCCATCCCATTATCATCTCCCCCTAATTCTGCTCAGTGGGCATAGGAGGATCCTCCACCTTCCTTGGTGACTCATCTGTGCCCACTACCTCAACCACCCTCCAACTAGGGATGATTGATTCTAAGTTCATTGTTTATGAAAATAAAGTTTCCCATTCAGAGCTTGTATTTTTAGCTAAGTATGATAAGTGCCAATCATTGTTGCCGTTTGGCCTGTCACAGTTCAAATCCACATGAACCTTATGTGTTTCATTGTTCAAAACCCCAACACACAATTCAGATGGCTGTATACATGAGAATTAAAATCTTCAATTTTTCCCCACAGGATTTATTCATTAACCCTTCTTATTTATCAGGAGTCTGTCAGTATATCGTTCTATTCAAAGAAAATTTTCTTTTGATTAACAGCAACAAATAGTGTCACAATTATATCGAGTTGGTGACTGTTCTACATTGAAGGAAAAGGAAAATCTAATTATGAAATTTACATTTCTTACAAGTGAGTGTGAGTTCTGTGGAGTGGTTAGATTAACCATCATGACGATAAATATGTACTCATGGCCTAGTGCATTAAGTTGTATAATGTCTTGGCATAGAATTGCTCTGAAAGTCGCAGCAAAGGGCACCAATTTTGTATAGTCAGAGAGTAGTCAATTGTGTCTAAACAGACCTGAGACAGAGTGGACTTTAAGGTGTATACTCTACTTCATTGCTTTTAAAGGAATGAACCTACTGTTTGATTTTATTCATGATCAATGCCATGATTAAGTGTGGTTGTAGGATCCCTGTGTCATTGAGTATCTAACCACTTCCCTCTACATATTTGGGTTGAAAAAGCCAGAGAGATATTTGTGTGTAGTGTCTCTTGGGCAAGTAAATTTGGCAGTGCCCATGTGTCTCTAAGTCAAACCAGAGCCAATTTCTTCCTTCTTGGTCACACACATGGTTGTTTGTTCCCTCAAGAGGAACCCTCTGCTCTGGCCAGTGACTTCAGTCTAGGAAGTCTCGTTCAGTGATGCCACATCATACCAGCACTGGCTGCATACATGGCATTTTGCTAGATAGCCATTGATCCTGCACAAACGTTCATCCACCCACCCCCCTTTGATAGGTCTTGTTCTTAATCCTGGTGTGTGTCTAGCTACTCTCCTCACCAGAAAAGCTTGATGGGGGGGACTGATTTAATCCCCAATGACCCAACCATGTTGTAGGTAGTATCGGATTACATTTTGGTAGACTTTAGTATCTTAGCTGAATTTTTGCTAAAATAACTTAAACAAATCTGGTAACTTGCATCTTGGTCTAACTCTCCAACCAGTCCTTCAGGAACCTGGGAATGGCTTCCAGGAGTTTGTAATACTTATACCCTTACTAATTAAGCGATGGTTATGTCTAAATTCAAATTCAAGTGATTCTTTGTACTAATGTGGTTTAATTCTGTTCCTCTAATTCTATTATTTTTCTCCCCCAGAACCAAATCAAAGGGCAAACGAAATCAAGCAGAAGTATTGAACCGAAGTACGTCAGGTAAGTCTTAATGCCTTATAATCTTATCTGTCTTTAAGACTTACCTTATTTATTTTCACATTATTTTTTTTTAAATACTTCAAAACTTCAATTTTGAATGAACTGAATTTCTCTTAATATTTAATTATTTTAAACTATTTTTTAAACTTCTACATCTTTTTTCTTTTTAAAAAAAAAAAAAAATATATATTCAAATAGGATATGATTATACCATTACCAACATTTGTATTTTCTATATTGACCATCATGAATTTTGCTTCTCCAGTGGTTTTAGAATTGACTCATAGAACCTCTGAAAATAATAATGCTATTCTAACATCAACAGAACATTTTTCATGAATATCTGCTTTCTGAGCTAGTTTATATCTGAATGAAATTGGTTTTCTCATTTTTTAGTCGCAACACTGGGTAGAGTGAAGTCGTTAGATTCTGGAGGTAAGATAACTGTCTACCAACCTTTTCATAGGCATGTCTTATGTTATTGACCCATCTTCTGAAAGACAAACTTGCCTTATACATTATCTGCTCTTCAGATCAAAAGAGAATGTTGAGCTTAATTTTTTGATCTGCATCTGATGGCAGTCAATTTTTTCTATAATGCAATTATTCCTGATACTGTTGCCTCTTTCTTCTAGGGCAGTTATGTCCATCTCATCTGTCATAACTCTACATCTTTGCAGTTAAACCTGCCTTTGTTAACACTGTCGCTCACCCTCTATCTCTCTGTTCTCTTTATATTTAGAACAGTCATGCTCATCCTTTTCTAGCTTCTTTGGTACCCACTTTTTCCTCTTTTTGAAATTATACCCAATTCATAAATTTATTTCTCTTGATAAATGCCTTAAAAATAATTTTAAGTGAAAGTATTTATTTCCTAAAATTTCATCCTTATATTAATGTCCTTTCTCTAAATTGAACAAGTACATCTTGGCTTTCACCCAAGTTGGGTTGCATCAGCTCTAGCCAATGAATGTTTAATCATTGCAAAGTTTTATGGCTAATTTTATGTGGAGACCTGAAGTACCTTCCTGTAGAGTTATTTTTCCTTAGTTAAAGTATCGATATTTTGAAATTATTGCAGTTGGTGTTTGTGGCCTCAAGTGCTGCAGTATTATTAAGGGTTTTCATCCAAAACTGTCTTTGAAAGGGACAAGATTCTCAATGAAATTCATTAAATAAATTTTGTCACATTTTATATCGAGTGTACAACTTTGACTTTTATGGACCTGAACACAAATATTTTTACATTTCAGTGTTGTTTATTATTAAATTATTATTTCTGTATTTATTTCATATAACTATAATTGATTGACATTAATTAAAATAATAAAAGCTGTAATTCAAAGATATACAAAACATTCAGTAATTTAATAAAGAATTTAATTATATACTGGTAATTTAACTATTGCTGTTGATAATAATTGTATCTTATTTGTATATCCTGATGTTTAAACTGAGTATATTTTATAATTAGTGAACAGTGTAGTTATAGAATCTAAATGTAAAGTCATCTTCTCAATGGATAGAAATTTTTTTCCATTCTTTTTATTTAAATAAATATAACATCTGATATATACTGTACCTGACTTATGAGTTCTTTAGGTTGAAATGTATATTTTAAGTCTAAGCCTCTTGGATTTTCATTCCCTATTTGCGTTTTTTTATTTTTTTTATTGCTGTTCTTTTAACAGTCAATGTTTCTCTGTTCAACAATTTCAGATCTTCATAGACAATTACTGTGTTAAACTTTATTACAATTTGTGATTTTGATAAACTTTAAAAAAAAAAAATATTTTCTTAACTTTCTTAAAAACTTGTACATTGAATGTTATTTTCATTTGGGTAGAAAAACTTTTTAATTTTTTTTTTCTTTTCATTATTACCAGCTGTCATGGCAAGATTTATACTTTTATAAATTTATACCTTTTTTTTTTTCTTTTTCTTTTTTTCTTTTTCTTTTCTTTTCTTTTCTTTTTTCTTTTCTTTTTTTTCTTTTCTTTCTTTTCTTTTCTTTTTTTCTTTTCTTTTTTTTCTTTTCTTTTCTTTTTTTCTTTTCTTTTTTTCTTTTTTTTTTTTTTTTTTTTCTTTTTTTTCTTTTTTTTTTTTTTTCTTTTTTCTTTTTTTTTTTTTTTTTTTTTTTTTTTTCTTTTTCTTTCTTTTTTTTTTTTTTTTTTTTTTTTCTTTCTTTTTTTTCTCTTTTTTCTTTCTTTTTTTTCTTTTTTTTTCTTTCTTTTTTTTCTTTTTTCTTTTTTTTTCTCTTTTTTCTCTTTTTTTCTCTTTTTTCTCTTTTTTTCTCTTTTTCTTTTCTTTTTTTTTTTAATTTGGATTGTCCAAAATTCATAATTTTTCAAATTGCTTTTGTCATTTTTATATGTATAGTTCAAACTGCAAAGGAATCATCTAAAAATAAGTTTCAAGACAGATTAAAATGGTAAGTTCATTTTGCCAATTTTAGTTTTGTAAAGTTTTATTTACTGGCACAGATATTTTATTTTTATATTTTTTCTGCTGCTGTTGAGTTTTTTTTATTTTTTGGTATATTGCACTTCCGGAGTATTGCTGTTAATTGCCTGCTTCTAAAGCACAATAGATTTTATTTCACTAAAATTGATAAAAAATATGCACAAGGGCAGTAAAAAAAAAAACAAAAAAAATCTTATTTTTCTCATTTGAAAATTTTAATAGCAAAATTTTCAAATGCCTTTTTATCAAATGTTATTTTTTTTAAGTCCAATTAGTTTTAATGTTTTCTAAATTAAAAATGAAACTACAATTGTCTCATAGATATGGAGTCTGGAAATATGTGCAAAGTTGTCCAACAAGTATTGAGATCTAATCCTTTGGAAAATCTTGAGGAATATAAGTCAAATGGTTCACTCACAATAACTCAATAATTCTGAAATTTAATTTTTTACATATTTTGTACTTTAGATAAAAGTGTTTAAATGACAAGGGCGTGTAATACTTAATATATAAATACCTTACAATTTGATTATTTTTAATGATAACTGGAACTGATCCAAATTTTAAAAAATTATTTTAAGGATATTACCCTACAGAAATCAGTGAAAGCAAGACTTCATCTAAGTGTTTTTTATTTATCCATTACTCTAATGAATATAGAATTCTCTAATTCCTTAAAATTGTATTAGTAATTTTTCAATGTACCAAGTAGATACTTTGAAGCTACATGACTGATTTCAAGAAGTTAAATGCATGTAGATTAATTTTATTTTATTCTGGAATTTTGCAAATGTATTGATTTCAAATAAGTAAAAAAAAAATTGTAGCTCTCAGCTATTTTTTTTAGTTTCTTGTTTTTGAAATAAAATATTTATCTATTCATAAAAGGTAAAATATTTGGATAATGTCTGTATATGCTATTTCAGAATTGTTACTATCCTTGAGGGGGAAAAGAAAAAATGGTTGCAAAATAAATTTAATAAACTAAATAATTCAGCAATTTCAAAAATTGGGCTAATGTTTTTAAATTATGAATCATATTTTGTATGGAGAGCAGCTTTTATTTTAAGGAAAAATAATTTCTTTATGGTGTAACTGTCAAATGAATTTTTAGTTTTGATTTTCAAGTTAGGTCAATATTTTAACTAGGGATTTTTTTCAGCATGATCACATATAAAATACCTATGTAATTGTACTTTGTATTTTAGATACTCTAATAGAATTGTCATTTAGGCTTTTTAAAAACTTTGTCTTGTGTAAGATATTACACAAGATTTAAAAAAGATAATACATTTTGGTTATCTTAAATCTTGACCAAAGCAGGAATGACATTTTATATACTGTCGTAAATTTATAAATAATCAGGTATTCAATAGTTGATTGATTTTCTAATTAAACATTTGTTCTTTGATTTGTATGAAATATTAAGGTGTATCTAAAGTATTAGATTTTTTTTTTCATAACAAATGTCAAGGTTCTTTGCTTAGGTATTGCTTGTAAAATATTATACTATTATCTTTTTTTAATAGAATATCATTGAGGTATCTGGTGGTTTATAGTTGTAGATAGTTTGTATTTCAAAATATTATTGCAGTCATTTTAATTCATCTGTTCTTTTTTTTTTTTTTACCCTAACATTCAGATGATAGGTTATTGATGCACAATGGCTCTCAAATATTTGTTTTAATGTGGTTATGGTTATTATTGATTGCACTAAAAATCGATTTTTCTTCACATAATATTAAGAGAACGCTAGAAAAGAAAATGTTTTTTGTTTCTAAAATTATTTTCTGCTATTAAAGTCATTATTGATAATCATTTATGGCATCTGTAGCCACTCTTTCCAAAATAAAAATTCTTTTAATTGCAAGTATATTGCAAATGGATTTAATTAAGATACTTCACTTTTATAATTTAAATTAATAGAATCTCCTATAAAAAAAGTAAATCTTGAAATAAAATTTATCGTCATGCAAAATCATAGTAATCTGTTTTTATTTTATGACACTAGTTTTTACTGATATACAGATTGTGTCAGGTTGAGAACTTACTGATCTAATTTAAAAGCTGGATTTTGATTTAAAATGTTCACTATATAATGTTTATGTAATTAATATTCACCAGTGAATTAAATGAATTGACAAGTGAGATTATATAAATGTATTACATAAAACGGATGCTATTTTTCCTTCACAACAGACTTGTTGAGATATATATATATATATATATATATATATATATATATAAGGTAGGATTTGAATCTGATGGAATAGTAAATATAAGACAATTTGGAAAACTTCAATAAAATTCTTCTCTTAATTGCACTAGTTCATTGGTGACTCATGCCAAACAGAAATTTTACAAATTGTCTTTATATAATATAAATGAGGAAATTTAAGAGAAAATTGGTTCAAACCTTTGTTTCTAGTTTTAAATTATTGCTTAAAATTATTTTCATACTATGATTGTTATCTCAGTCTGTATAAACCAGTACTCTTCAGTAGTTCTATAGTCATATATATACAGGAGTGTAAGAATTAGAATAGTAAAATTTTCTGGCAGTTTAAACTTTGTAAACATTACATTTAGATATTATTTTTGTTTTGTCTTTGTATTTATTTATTTGCTAAGTTTTCAAATGAAATGTATTAACCTTTGAACAGATCAATCTTTTCCATGCAATGTTTCATTTTAGTAGATATTACTTGGTTCATAAATTAAGATGTAATGTAAAATTAATGAAGATGTTTTTGTTTGTTTGTTTTTTTTTTCTCTCTTAAAAACCAACCTCCACTCAATTAAGATTAGAATGCCTTCAACAAAGAATACACTATATACAGCCAAAATAAATTTCTTGAAATAAACAAGGCAAGAAATTCATAATTTGCCAGATTTCATCTCTAAAGTCAGAATTATTTTATATAAACTTTATATAAATTGAAGTACCCAAAAATTAGAAATAACTACTGATGATCCCTTCACCTAAATATGAGGTGCTAAAGTCATTGTGTGGTGCTCTCCAGGGCTCTTTCTAATTTTATTGGGTGTGGCTACAGGGGAAAAAATTTTATACTGAGGTTCACACCATACAAAGCACAAAATACAATCTTAACCTGTTCAAGTTTAGGGTTAACTTTTATCTTAGCCAAATATCTGTAAAAACTGTGCCTCTTACTCTGTAACCCTCTACCTTGACTGGTTCACAGGCCTTGTACAGATTGAACACCGTAAAAAAAGAAAAAGAACCACTCAAGATAAATGGTCAATGTGTGGTGTGGAATGAGTGTAAGAAAAGGCAAGGAGTGAAGTCTATGGAGTTATGCAGGAAAGATTGTGATTAGCTCCAGACTTAAAGGGGTCAAAATTAGGAAAACATCCTATCAGGAGTCTGTTCCACAAAGCAACAGTTCTTGGGATGAAGCTGCCAGAGTGGAACATACTTTTTACTATTGGGATACAAAGGGAATTGGGATGAGTTACACTTAAGTGACATCTGTAACCTGCCTCATTCATGCTGAATGGGCTTTTAATCTGGAGGTCAGTTTCTGGAACCAATTTTATGTCACCTGCATATAATGGTGGGTGGGTATTGTCTTGCTGGGAAAAAAAAAGTGTAACTGGGAAACATAACAAGCATAAAAAAGGATGCATATGGTCTGCAATAAGACATGTCACATGTCAAAGAAGATTCCAACTTCACTATTTGTCCTTGCAAACACCTATTGAACATGCTCCACATTGTTAGTGTTTCCACTAGAATACACATCACCAGTTGAACGTTTACCTCTATACCAGAGGTTCTCAACTTTTTTTTTGGCCATGACCCACTGAGGCATCTCTAAAATTCATTTGCCCCTTACCCCATGACATATAATTCTTATTATTCAAAAAGTGAACTCCTATTTATGTGAAGGAATCCTAAAAGGCCATTAACTTGGTCTAAATAAGCTTCTAAAAAAAAAGAAACTGCATATATGCAATAGTATTATCATTTAATTGTAGAATTTTACAATATATTTTGGATGTCCTTGTTGAACACAAGGACGGGGCTTTCGTTACCAATGTTTTTTGTAAGCCCACATTTACTGGACTATACACAAGCTGGAATTCATTTGTTCCTAAGTCCCACAAGATTGGTCTGATTGTGATCTTGGTTCATTGTGCTATCATGATTTGTTCCCCTGTACTGTTAGATGGTGAACTTACTACAATTCAGAATATTTTCAAAAGTAATAGATATCCCATCAATGTTATCAGGTGTGTTATTGATAGCAAAATCAGGCAGTTTAATGAACCTGCAGTGTTTGGACCTAGTCAGTGTCCTATCTATTTAAAATTATCTTGACTTGATAGGAAATGTCAGTATCTGACAGAATTTTGGTGTCTATTTCGTCTTGCTATAATGTGGTTAAGTTGCGCACAGTTTTTCAGACCAGACCTGTGCTTCTGTCCTTTACTAAAGATAGGTTGTCCTACTTTCATAAAAATTTAGTTGTTTATAAGTTCAAGTGCCATTGTGACGTGGTGTACATAGGACGAAACAATCTAAGGTTGGAGACACGGGTCGTGCAGCATGTTCCCGCCTTTTTGCATTCTGGTAGTCTTAGCCAGCCTATAAGAACTACTCAAGCAGTCCATGAGTCTGCAATCGGTCAACATTTGCTCAACAACCATGCTTGTGCCTCTGAATATGAAGACATGTGGTTTTCAGTTTTACACAGTGCTCGCTCAATACACCATCTCTGAAGTCGTTTTCATAAAGTGTCAACAGCCGAGCCTGTGTAGACAAAAGGAACATTTTTTACGTTCATTGCATCTGTTGGAGGGTTTGTGAGTGTCATTTTTCTATTTTATACTCTTGTGGAACTGGTTATTTTCATCACCCCTTTGTTCAATTTTAATTTTGTGTAATTAAAATTTCTCTTTTAGTCACGTTCCACCTTTCCCTCCTCATTTACTTTATTGAGTGTCTTCATTTGTATTCCCAATCGCCAACGAATACCTTTGAAAAAGTGTTGGCTGAAAGGTACCTTTAGGTATGACGTCCATATTGTTTAGGGCTATATATATATATATATATATATATATATATATCTTTGAAGTGAAACTGGCAGTCACCATGCAGTGTCGAGTTCTGTCCAAACTATCTCTGATAATGTGTACTCTTTTCCTATAAATATATCAAATTTTTTAAATATATGATGCTCATATTGGATAATTCATATTCTGTGATGCCTTTTGTAAATTAAAAGTTTTTTGGCTAATGACCATTTTTTTTTTTTTTTTTTTTTTCTCCAATATGTGTGGGTTGGTCTAATGAATAATGGCTCAAAATAAGAAATCAGAGCCAAATCAAATTCCAGTAGTGTTCATTGCATTCACTTCTTTGCAAATACCCTTGGGAAAGGTATGAATCTATCTTCGTCCCCCTCCCCAGCCCCCAGCTATTGGCAACCAGTTTACCACAGAAAGAAACAACAGCTTACTGCAAGAAATCTTATGCCTAGTCAGTCATGAATCAAAAGAGATATGATTGCTCAAGTGTGTATCATATGTTGCACTTGACTTATTCTTTTATCAATCAGTTCATCTCATTTACTATTGACCCATAATGCACTTGTAAATCAATGAGAAAATCTGTATAATTAGTGGTCATAACACAAAAAGCATGTAATGAATTACAAGCTAGTTGAAAGCATTAATTTGCGTTATCATTTGTTCCCTCCAGAAATACAGGAACATGACTATGATTAATTTTTGTTTTACTTTGGATTATGAAACAAAACTGTAGATCTTGTCAAATTTGTAGGCTCTGTAGATTTCTATATATTTTCATGATTTTCATATTACTATGCACTAATTCCGACTGGTGTCTTAATTTTGGTTGATATTATCATGGCCAAAACATTGTGACTATAACAGAAATGATAAGATGCTTGTTTGACTATATCTGTGTCTAATGACATCATGCCATGTTCAACACAGGTCGATGGAACTGGGTACTGTCTGAGTTTTATGATTAGTTATAATTTTTGTGTGTCAATTCCACTTGTTGCTTCATATAAATGCTAGAAGTATTATTAATCTTTATTAGATCAGACTAAATGCCTTCCTAAGTAAAGGTAAGGAAAAATTTAATTGTTACTTAGAAAGGTTAAATCTGTATAAAGCAAATTAGATGCAATAACTTAAATATATAAAACCATTTTTCTACAACTACTTTTTCCGGTGAAAAGATGCTAATTATACAGAAAGTTTGAAACCAGTTGAAATATTTTAGGCAGATTATACACAAACATAAAATGAAAAGCTGTTAGTCATGTATTTCTGAATATTTTATCTTTTCATATTTAGAATTTTCTCTTTAATAACAAGTCTTGAATAAAATTATATTTTAGCAATAAAAGAATGAAAGATGTATTTTGTTTGTTTCATTATAGGCTAAAATATCCCAAGTAATTATGGATATGGATAGTAATACTTGCATTGAATTTATACCAAATGACTTTGCCTGTTTATAACGACAGTTTTGACCGTTTCAATTTAATTTTGTAATTAGAAAATTGCCTTTTTATAGAAAAGGTATAATTTCTTTAGAATATTTTTTAAACATGATGGTACTACTGGAATTTGATATAGTCCATTTGTTTATATATATATATATATATATATATAGTGATTAATATTCTATAAAGAAATATCAACACCATAAAGGGCTACTTCTTAGGTGCTGATTTTCATCAAAAATGGATGTACAGTGTATCACAAAAGTGAGTACACCCCTCACATTTCTTCAAATATTTAAGTATATTTCTTCATGGGACAACACTGACAAAATGACACTTTGACACAATGAAAAGTAGCCTGTCTGCAGCATATATAAATAGTTAATTTATTTTTTCCTCAAAATAACTCAAAATATAGCCATTAAAAGCTAAATCCCTGGCAACAAAAGTGAGTACACCCCTTAGGAAAAGTTGTCAATATTAACATACAACATGTCAAATGTCAATATTTTGTGTGGCCACCATCATTATCCAAAACTGCCTACTCTCCTGGGCATGGAGTTTACCAGAGCTTCACAGGTAGTCACTGGAATGCTCTTCCACTCCTCAATGACGACGTTCTTTGGAGCTGGCGGATGTTGAGACTCTTGCCTCCACCTTCTGCTTGAGGATGGCCCAAAGATGTTCTATTGGGTTCAAGTCTGGAGACATGCTTGGCCAGTCCATCACCTTTGCCCTCCGCCTCTTCAGTAAAGCAGTGGTTGTCTTGGATGTGTGTTTTTGGGTCATTGTCATGCTGAACACTGCTCTGTGACCCAGTTTCTGGAGGGAGGGGATCATGCTCTGCAGTGTTTCCCAGTACATGTTGGAGTTCATGTTTCCCCCAATGAAATGTAACTCTCCAATACCTGCAGCACTCATACAGCCCCAGACCATGACATTCCCACCACCATGTGCTTGACTGTAGGCATGACACTTATCTTTGTACTCCTCACCTGGTCGCAGGCATACACATGCTTAAGGCCATCAGAACCAAACAAATTAAATTTTGTCTCATCAGACCATAGGACATGGTTCCAGTAATCTATGGGCTTTGTTGACATGTCTTCAGCAAACTGTTTGGAGGGCTTTCTTGTGTATTGCCTTCAGAAGAGGCTTCCTCCTGGGTGACAGCCATGCACACCAATTTGATGTGTGTGGCGTATGGTCTGAACACTAACAGGCTGAATCCCAATCTCTTTAATCTCTGCAGCAATGCTAACAGCACTCCTATACTGATCTTTCAAAGAAAGCATTTGGATGTGACGCTCAGCACATGCGCTCAGCTTCTTTGGACGACCTACCCGAGGCCTGTTCTGAGTGGACCCTGCTCTTTTAAAATGCTGGATGATCTTAGCCACTGTGCTTCAGCTCAGTTTCAGGGTGTTGGCAATCTTCTTGTAGCTTTGGCCATCTTTATGTAGTGCAACAATACATTTTTTAAGATCCTCAGAGAGTTCTTTGCCATGTGGTGCCATGTTGGAACTTTCAGTGACCAGTAAGAGAGTGTTAGAGCTGCACTACAAATTTGAATACACCTGCTCCCCATGAACACATGGGCATAGTTACACTAATGAGTCACATGACATTTTTGGAGGGAAAATGAAAAGCAGTACTCAATTTAGACATTTAGGGGTGTAGTTTCTTGAGGTGTACTCACTTTTTAGGGGTGTAGTTTCTTAGGAGTGTACTCACTTTTGTTTGCCAGGATTTAGCTTTTAATGGCTATATTTTGAGGGGAAAGAAATTAACTCTGTTATATATGCTGCAGACAGGCTACTTTTCATTGTGTCAAAAGGTAATTTTTTTCAGTGCTGTCCCATGAAGAGATATACTTAAATATTTGAAGAAATGTGAGGGGTGTACTCACTTTTGTGATACACTGTATGTATCACATGACCAAGTGAAAATAAATTATTTTAGACAAACTAATCTTTAAATGATTGTATTGAGTTAATATACTGATTAAATTACTATTTATTGCTTAGCACAGAAGCAAAGAAAGACTTGAAAGACTTATATATATATATATATATATATATATATATATATATATAATTACATAGCTTTTGATTATTACTATTAACTGAATCATGAAATCCTGTATTAAATATGCACATTAAGTTTGGAATTATTCTGTCTTCTTGAAGATATACTAAATCAATTTAGGTATACAATAATTGATTACAAAAGACAAGCTATATTGAGAAGAATATTAAACAAAATGGAATTATTCAAAAGTTGTCTCTCTTGCCATATATAGACAGTGTGGACACAGGAATCAACACTGCATGTTGACTTTGTTTCATAGAATGGGTTGAAGATCACTGAAGGCATGAAACTAACAGTCACCAATCATGCCCATATATAAACCCACTCTCTCCAGCACTGAGTAGTCTTCTTCCATAAACATTAAATATAATATTTTTTTGTTGCCCTATAATCAACATTTAATCTTGAAAAATAATTACATGATCCAGAATTCATTCAAACAAGTGTGTGTGTGTGTGTGTGATCACTGGATTGTGTATCTATATTCTTAAAAAATACAGGGTGCGGCAACAGTCACACACCATAGGGCTTAAATGGATAGGGCAAAGAGGTCCTGTTGAGTGGATTGGATATATTTTTTTTTCTTTTTTTGTGAGGCCATTTGAAATCAGTTGTTTATCAAAGGTGTCCAAGGATTATTGAGGAATTTATAGAAAGAATTAAATATAAATGCAGTAACATGACAGAAACAAATGAAACTCTCTGACATATGAATGAATCGTGCAGGTGCAGAATTTAAATGGGTTTTGAAAAAGGAGGACATTTTGAACAGCACGTATAACAATTAAATAACTACTAAATAAAATTTTCATATGTGATTATACTTTTGATAAATTATCCTTATGGTGCACAATTTTTGCCTTACCCTGTATATGTAGGTTATAGGACCAGAAAGGAATAGCATTTTATTAGGATTTTTCCCCTACCCTAGAACTTATGTTTTTGAATTTCTAAAATATATGCAATAATGCTGTTCATTTATCCCAAATCTTAAAACATTAGGAAACTAATTTGGTAGGATTGATTAGTCAAGTTAGTATTTATTCTTAGTGGCAGGGATTATGAATTAGCTTTGTTTTTCATTTTTGTTCAGTCCTCCGTCAACAAGTATGGAGAACTTAAGAGATGCAGAAAATACTGATGAATTGAGGTAAGTGTGTTGGCATTTGTTCTTGCCTTGTGCATTTACTCTTGGTGTGTATTGTTGTATCAATGTTACCTCTGCCTTCACTGCACGGTTTTTTGTGTTGCTTCTTTCTTATGTTTGCATGTGATGCTAACTTAGTATGCATAGATATAGGTTTTTAGTATCTGACCTTGTAGAAGAACGAGTAGTAGTGTTTTTTCTTATAGTTCTATTGTATTACCTGATGCACCAATGGTCTTAATTAAAACATGTATGTTCTTTTAAGCCTATATGAAAAAAGCAGGAATGGTTTTCTCTGACCCATCCACTTTATTTTCTTCATGCTATTTTCAATTCAAATTTATTTCATATAATAAACCTCTGTCTATTTTTTATAGGGTGCTGTTCATATCAAGTAGGGTTTACCCAAAAAAGACAGTACTACAATCAATGTAGAGAAATGATTTTAATTTTGAAAGGGCAGGATGTTTTGAATACACCCAAAGAATTGTGTGATAGAACATGAGATTAATGTTTTTAATTGGAGATAAAATAACCCCCATTAATATCTAAACCTGTGTGTGTGTGTGTGTGTAGAATGTCTTGACCTGTGTGCACATCTTATTCTATAAATGTTAAGCTTTTTTCCTGCTTTGTAACTTATATATTAATTTTTTCTGCTAATTACTTACTATGTTTTCATAGTTTAACACTTGTAGTTTGTCATTGGCCATAACTATTGAGTTAAAAGAAGTGTGGAATTTTTTACTCAAGTTATTAGACTAGCTGTTGAGAGAAGGGTACTAATTCTAGCTTCATATAAATTTTCCTCTTTACTGAATGATAAATATCACAAAGTTTATAGGTGGGGGAATATCATGATTTTCAAGTTATATACTCTCTTGTGCCATAATCATAACTTAGTCAGAAATGTTTATTTTTTTACATTTTTAAAAAAATATTCGGGACCATATTTTTCAGTGGATTTTTTAAAAGCTTTTCTCAATATTAAGTTATTAAATTTAAGAAATAGAAATTTTCTGAAAAGAATAACATTGTGTATATAAATAATTTTTTTTATTATATTCTTGATATTTTGCCAATGCAGTTTTTTATGGACTTTATTTATGTATAATCATTTTATATACACATGGCAAATGTTTGTTTATTGGTCCTAGTTTCCAGTTTAAACTTTATTTTTCTATCAAATTATCTGAATTTCAACTTTGTTTTGTTTCTCTTCATTTTTCTTTCATATGTGAAATTGAGGTTTTTATTAGGCTAATGTTTACTCAGATGTTATAGGCTGTAAGTACATTTTATTAAATCTATATCCATAATATTGTCATTAAATGTAAATGGTAGCAAGAGTTTTATATGCTAATGTTATATTTCAATCATGCAAATTTAAGCCATTAAAAATTATTGTAATTTTGTTGAATTTGACTGTTTTACATTTTATAAAAAGAAATAAAATATAATGGTTAAATATCAGTACAATACAACATAAAAATTGTTTGAATGAAAATGGCTTCTTTTTCTTTTCTTTTTTCTTTTTTTTTTTTTTTAATGGAGTATACTAGTTTTTTGTTTTTTTTTAATGGAGTATACTAGTTTGTTTTTTTTTAATGGAGTATACTAGTTTGTTTTTTTTTTAATGGAGTATACTAGTTTGTTTTTTTTTTAATGGAGTATACTAGTTTTTTGTTTTTTTTTTAATGGAGTATACTAGTTTTTTTTTTTTTTTTTTTTAATGGAGTATACTAGTTTTTTGTTTTTTTTTAATGGAGTATACTAGTTTTTTTCTTTAACTTATTGTTGCTTTTTATCACCTTTATACATTCTTTGACTGTTACAACAGCACAAAAAGTCAGAAATAAACTTCTGCTGAGACTTGGACTCATATCCTCTAAGATGGGCGCCAGGCATTGAAGATAAGAATTAAAGTTTTATCACAAATTGCCACTTTTTTTTAATCAGAAATAAATAGTTTCATTAGTACATCTGCAGTTTTTAGTTAGTGTGGCCATTGATGGTTGGATAATATTTGTAGTCTTGGTAGAAATGTTAATAGTTATCTGAATTCATGATCTTAATTATTTCTACATGTTTTTTTTTTTTTTTTTTTTTTTTTTTTTTGTTTTTTTTAAATCATTTCCCCCAAAGCTAGGCAAGAATGCCACTAGGTACACAGGGTGTTACAGAGAGGGAAAGTGAGAGAAAAGACTGGGTATAAGGGGGGGATTGAGGAAAGGGTAAAAGATGAACAGAGTTCAAGACAACAGAAGATGGCAATTAACATTGCATTAAAATTTTTGAAGATTCTAATTTTCATGGAAGCAAGTAAACAGAAGGGAGTTCCATTGTTGGGAAGTGTGAGAAAAACAGTTGAAGTAGAAGTGGCATTTACATTTATCTATTTCAACAGTAAAAGGGTGGAACCTAGATGCCAATTTAGTAGCAGGGCTTAAATTTGTGTATTTGGGGCACCAGCAGGGGGGGGGACTCATCAGAACAGTTGTCATGAAAATATTTGTAGAAAAGACAGAGGGAAGCCACGTCACATCTGTGAAAAAGTGACTGACATGGAGATGCTAAGTCAGGATTGATTACATTGCAGATCCTTTGGATTTTGTCAAGAACCTTAAAATGAATAGCAGGAATACCAGTAATTTTTGTGTTGGTGCACCTGGGGATTAATGTCTAATTTCTTTGTGCACTTTGAATAAATAAATAAATAAAAAATAAATTTAGTTAATTATCAGCTAATACATTTTTAGATTGCAGAAAGTTTGCTCATTCTAAACTATATATATATATATATATATATATATATATATATATATATATATATATATATATATATATATATATATATATATATAGAGAGAGAGAAACACTTCAGTTCTTTCTTGAGGACACAAAAAGAATAGTTGTTTGTAGTTTTTGCTGATTTGTAAAAATGCCAAAACAACAGAAGTTGTTAAATTAGCTTTATGAAGTTGTAAATAATAATAGTATAGTATCTTCATTTTTATCTGCATTACATATTCACAAAATTGAAAGTGTTTTAGATGTAGAATAGTATCCGAAATAAAAGTTCAGATAATGGGACAAAGTGTAAGAGCTTTTTTTAACAACACATTTCACCGACACATGTTACGTTTAGCAGGTTCTGGTCAGAATGAAAGACAAAACTATGTAAGGAAAATGCATTGGGATTTTTTTTTTTTTTTTATAGATAAGGGCAATAAATTATATTATCAGATCCGACAACCAGAAAGTGTTTTTTTTTTTTTTTTTTTTTTTTTTTATTATTATTATTATATGTTAGAGGCATTGGTATCAGTTGGATTTTCAATTTATTACTCATCACTCTTTAAAAGGCTAATTTCTGGTTTTATGTATAAATTTACTAATAGAAAAACTAAGCACCATTCTGTACTACAAACTAACAGTAACTGAAAACTTAATTTTACATTTGAGTTTACTACTTAAACATAACATAACAATCTATTTTTCAATGAATTAACAGTTAACCTATGTGTCATATTAGGTCTGAATTTTTTAATTGTGTTTTGGTTTTGGGTTTTTTTTTTTTTTTTTCAATAATTAATCATTTTCTTTCAATATTCTTCCATGTATTTCAAATATCTTTTCAAAAGTTATTTGATTTTTTTTATTTATTTATTTATTTTTTTTTTAAAGATTTTTGAAAAATAAAGTTAATTTTAAAATATGCACATTTTAATTGGTGGAAGTAGTAAATGTTTTTCTTTATAAAGAATCCTTATGAGTAATTTTATTTGAATAATTTTTTTTTTTGTAATTTTGAATTTGTAGTAGTTGCAGAATATTTAATTAAAAAAAAAGAAAATCAATATTAAAATCTTAATCTACATCCATCAACCAACTTAATACATTGTACCAGTAATCAGTGAGAAGAATTACACAACATGTAAATAGAATAAAACTGTTAATTTGAGCAACTTTGTACAGGCCATTTACTGCTCTTCACTGTTAATTTGTTCTGTTACAAAGGTGGTTCTTGAAATAGTAAAGTTTACCCAAAATGCCCAGGGATAATGTATATAAGTTAAGCCAAGTTATATCTTAGTTTAATTCATTTGAATCTTATATTTACCCAGCCTCCCTAGCAAGGCTGAATTCGACATAAGGTGGTTTTAACATTGTGGAGCACTGTACAGATATATATACATATGGGCCAAGGACAAAAATTGATTTTTGACCTGACCCCACGACCACTGTCACGCTGGCATCAGTATTACACTGACCCAGCCTCTTCAGTGCAATGAGGAAGGTGGTGCCATAGGGTTGGAATCCACGGGGCTGAGAAAATTCTCCCATCTAAAATGAGGAGAATCATAGCTCCAAGAATTCTAGAAAGAAAATTCGAATTGCCAACACACAAACAGAATGTCTCATATCGAGAATATTCACATTGAACATGAAGAAAAAATTAATTATTTTAATAATATGTAAAAATCTCCACTTTCACCTGAAGACGGTTTAGAGACCAGACCAGAAACATGTGTGTCGTGAAATTATGTAAAACAAAGTATAATATTTTTTCTCAATAAATCCACATTACAACCAAAAACGTTTATGGCACCCCTCTTCTTTTTAATATACATACTTTATAACCACTACAACATATTTCTTTTTATATATATATATATATATATATATATATATATATATATATATATATATATATATGTATATATATATGTGTGTATGTATATATGTGTATATATATATATATATATATATATGTATATATATATATATATATATATATATATATATATGTATATATATATGTATGTATATGTATGTATATATATATATATATATATATATGTATATATATATGTATATATATATATATATATGTATGTATATATATATATATATATATATATGTATGTATGTATATATATATATATATATATGTATGTATATATATATATATATATATATATATATATGTATGTATATAT